CAAGCCAATGTGGAATGTTCTTGGGCAAAGTGGTGTTTTAATTAAAGGCATTTATCAGTTATTGACAAAAGGAAGGGAGGAAGAAAGTGAAAAATTAGAAGATTGGAACATAATTTGGAAGTGGAAGGATCCTCATAGGATACTGTTATTCTTGTGGAAGTTGACCCACCACAGGCTTCTTACTAAAAGAATGATGTCCATTATGCAATTAGGGGAACCAACTTGCAGATTGTGTAATGATAAAAGAGAGTCCTTGATGCATGCAGTCAGGGATTGTGGTTTAATTCAGCAGTTATGGGACAGATTGGATGCTCCAAGATACTGTCATAACTTCTTTTCGTTAGAGGTCTAAGATTGGATTATTTTTAATCTGCAGGTAAAGACCATAGACAGCAGAGGGGTACCATGGAATACCACTTTTGCAGTGACTGTTTGGTTCACTTGGAATTGGAGAAATGAAAGATTACATAGTGAACAAGGGCTACAAACTGGATATAGTCATAACTTTATTTCGCAGTATACAGCTCAAATTTGGGCATTTGAAAGAGATAAAAGTTGTGAAGACAAGAGTGTACGGTGTGTTGAAATATCAATAGCCTGGCATTTACCCGAAAAGGGATGGATTAAACTTAACACTGATGGAGCATCTAAAGGGAATCCGGGAATGGATGCTTATGGGGGAGTCATTACAGACTGTGTAGATCAATGGCTAAATGGGTTTTCCTACCGGGTGGGCCACTGTATAGCTATAGGCTTTGTTTAGGAGTTTAGAGAGGATAGAAAGAAAAGGAATTAAAGGGAGAGGGAGGGGAGGGAAGGGAAGAAAAATGAAGGGTATTCCCTTCCTTTATTTGGGAGTTAAAATTCCCCAAATTGGGGGAACTTTAATTTTAAGAACAAGAATAGTTTTGGGAAAATCCCTAAATCCTTTCCCTCAATTTTTTAAACTCACAAACAACATTCCTTCCTTCCTCCCCCCCCCCCCCTCCCCTCCCCTCCCTCTTTCAAGATACCAAAAAAAAAAAAAAATAACAACCAATATATGGGCTCTGACATGTTTTGAGTATCACGGTATGTGAAACAGGACAGAGATTTTTATTAATTTGGATATATTTTTAATCCTCCCATTATTAATAAAATAAAATCGTCATGTGCAATACATAAAAAAAAAGTGAGATTCATTTTTTTTCTTCTCTTTTTCTCTTTAACGAGTCCTACTGTTTGGAAAAGAAAAAAAAATTGTCTGCGCACGTTAGGTTTGATTGTTAATTTGTTATATTTTGTAAAAGTAACACAACGTGGTCGGCTATTCTTGGACGGATTATTTGACACATAGGACAAATTAATCTAAGCCATATGCATCTGATTAGTGATTAGTGCTTTAATGAGATGTTTATTTAAAGTAAGCTATGAGCTTATTAATTAGAGTAAAAGATCATTTAATTTCACTGGATATCCAAAATTATTCTTGTTACTGGACAACTATATCGTGTTTTTTATTATTCAATAGTTTTCATGTTAATTATTGATGATCATCTTTGAGTGGTCAATAATAGTCATTGAATAATTAACAATATGATATTTGTTGTTCGAAGTTATTATTCATATCAGATTGATCAATAATAATCACTAAATAACCGTAACATTAGAAATAGTTATTATTTGTTTATTTTTAGATAAATCACAAATATTCTCCACAGTAGACAATTCTGTTCGAGGTTTAAATCCTTCCAAAAGATGATAATATATGGAGGATTGAACACATGCTCTCACCTCATCTGCTTAGTTCTCATGCGTGTCAATTGAGCTACTATCATTTAATAATTATTATTTATTTTTAAGTGGTCAATGTTAACTTTTGGGTATTTATTGTCAATGTTTATTATTTATTTATGATTTGTTAATAAAAATATCAATGACTATCACGAAATTGGATTATTGCTCATATTTGGGTTGTCAATAATTATTATTGAGTGGTTAATAATTTGATATTTGTTATCAACAGTTACTGCTCATTTCATATTGGTTAAAATAATAACAACAAATATTAATTTATGGGTTCGCTTTTTTTGCAGTTACTGCAAATAAGTTATCTGCAATAAGCTCAATACGACGTCGTTTTGGGACGAAAATCATAGTATTTTTGTAATTTTAATTTATTTCAGAGTTTTTATAGTTTTTATAATTATAATTTTTTAATTTTTAATCCCAAAACGACGTCGTTTTGAAAGTAAATGCAGATAACTTATCTGCATTAACTGCAGAAATATTTTTCTGTTAATTTATAAATACAAATATTATTTTTAAAGAGTATAGCTTAATTTTCTTCATTTGAAAAACATGAAATGAGTGCATTTTCGAAAGAGATTTGTCATTCCCTTTCGGGTTTCCTAAATTAAAAAAGTTAATCCTGATAAGCATGGTCAACTAAAGCAAAAACATGTGCGAGTGTGTGACTTTGTTGAAGCCTGTTTCGATTGGTCTTAATTAGCATCATAGTCTAACTGACATAGAAGGTGCCATTGATGATTTGGATCGTCTCATGAAACAAAATATAATATTATTATTTGAGAAATTATAATTATACAAAAATGGATCAATAACAATAAAAGAAGAGAAAAAATATATATTAAAATAGGTAGTTTTAAAATCATAACCGTTGATTCACCTTTATATAATTATGATCTTCTTACCTGACAATATCATTTTTTTTTCACATAAAAAAATCCATTTCCATCATTGAGATATTCCGCCATTAATTAATTTATAGATGTCAGAGATTCTTTGCTTCTAAACCAGCATTTCTACTAACTTTGCTACAGATTAATTTTCCACAAAGCATGTTAGAGTAGATTAGTTGAATTAAATGTTCACGGGCACCATCCTTGATGGTGGACCACTGACAATTAATTTATCAGGAAGGCCCTCTTATTATTCAATGTCATTTGGTTATTCAGCGGTCTGAATATTTTTGAGCTAACCATCATTATGTTTTTGAAACTCCTTTGTTAGTGATTTGATACAGTTTTTCTTTAAGCCTTCAATGGAATAAAGCAAGGATGTATCTGCAAAATAGTATGACATGACTCAAGTCAGAAATTTAAGCAAATTTAACTATTAAGAGCATGTTTGGATCCTCTTATTTTTAAGCTAAAAAAAGAGCTTAAAAAAAGAAGCTAAAAACTGTTTGGTAATTACATAAAAAATTTAGCTTAAAAATGATTTAAAAGCACATATTTCAAGAAAATTATCTCTCTCTTTATAACTCTTCGTTTTAAAAAAAGGACACAATTCAAGAAAAACAAATAAGAGCTTAAAAAAAACTCCTCCTAGGAAATAAGTTTTTAGTGCTACTATTGCACCAAAAATTCAGTACATCCCACCAATACATATATTACATGTCAGCTAAAGGTTTTTTTTTTCTCTGCCAAATTTTTTCTCTCTCCTATGATGTCTCCTATTGGTGGGATGCACTGAATGTTAGTGCAACAGTAGCACCAAATATTTATTCCCTCCTAGGAGCTTTTAGTTTTCAGCTTTTTTTTTTCATTTATTAAAGTAAGAGCTTTTCATTATAAGAGATTTTTCCAGAACCTGTTTGGCCTAGCTTATACTTATAAGTAACTTCGAGCTTAAAAAAGAGAGGATCCATACAGACACCGAATAAAAGCCATCACCTTGTGTTTAGAATATTAATATTTATAATTGGGGAATGATTAGCTTTGAAAATCCCTATACTTATTTCTAGCAAGTGGGTATGGAGGCGAAGTCTCTTTATTGGCAATGGTGATTTTAGATAATGTTGCAGAGAAATAAAGATATATCTGTGCAGCTATGATCTAAGAGATCTTCTTGAATGTGTTTTATTGGTGGTGAAGAATTCTTTCTTTATTGATTGTTGTCTCTATTTTTTTATATGAAAGTTGAATTTAAGTATAGGATGAAATCATAAAAAAAACTTATACATTGTGTGCTTCAAACCCAAATGATTCTTTATAAAATGGAGTGTGTTATAAAGATATTCATTAAATAATTTTTTAGATTATTGGTTCTTACTGTTTGTAAATATGTATATTTGATGGACTGGTAAATTTTTTTATCTTGAATATAAATATTAGTAATTTAAAATTTAGCAATTTTTTTTATAACTCACATTTTAAGTAAAAGAAATAAGTGGAGTTTTTTCCCTATAGATTACCAAAATAAAAAAGAAAGAAAGATAATAGATGAAAGTTGGTATATACAATTTGCTCATTTCATCGAAATGTTGTCCATAAATAGATTTTTGAATTATAAATTACAAATAAATTTAAATTAACGCCGACCTATAATCAATTCAGAACATTGCAACTCCTAACAAAACGAAATCAGTTCTTATTATATTAGATTCTAAATTCAAAATGAGTATAAATATGCACAAATCCTATATGCTCTAAATTACATTAAAATCTAAATCAAAATGCAATGCTTTAAATTAAATTCAAAATATGTAACAGTAAATCAACCTAAGAATTTTAAAATTCAGTTAGCTTGAACACCAATTGAAATAAGTTAATTTAAAAAAAAAACTAAAGGTGTACTCTACAATGACTTATTACATTTAAAACACTTAATCGATGTCCAAATTTTCAAGAAAGTAAAGTAGGAAGAACATATTTTTTGACTATTATTTCTTGAAGAAGAATATTCAACATTAATGTCACATATTTTATTTTAAAAAAGAAAAAAAAATGGAGTTAGTGCCTGTAATTGAGTGACACCTTCTTAATAGTAGGACTTTTCGAGATGAGGAAATTAATTTAGTAGAAGGATCTATTCTATTGTGATAAATTGCCAAAACAAACACCTTTCTTACTTGTTAAGAATGAAAAAGTGGGAAAACCAAATATAGGGGTAAAAGTAGGAATATTCCAAATGCTACACTCTGATTCCATTTTTTCTGTTTTTTCTTTTGATAAAATTAACCTAAAAAAAAAATAGCGACCCTCGCTACCAACCAATTTCGCCGTTAACGTTTCCAACTTTACTTTTCAGTTGAGGGAGTTTCCGACAAGAACAGCGTGAATCTCTAATATATATACATATATATGACACATTACGCTTTTTTTCTCCCTCTAGAACTCCGTGTCTCCCACTTTCTCTCTCCTCGAGCTCTTGTTCCCATCGCCATACTCACTCAAATGCTAGTTTTCTAGGACTGAGTTTTCAAGTGGGGTGAGTCTCTTTTCATCACCATGATTCATTATGCTTTCGATTGTGCTCATATTTTGACTTTGTTATGATTCCTTTGTTTTCTTGATTCTTCTTTTTTCTGTGTTTGATTTACATGATGTTCTTTTGCGGTTCGTTGGGGGAAGAAGGAAAAAGTAATTACAATGTGGGTTTTCATTTTTATTTTTCTCTTTTGCTAATTGAGGGTGTGCGTGAGTCTATGTGTGTGTGTGTTATCTTTCTAAGTGTGTCCTCTGTTGCGTGTTGATGGGATCAATGGAATCCTGTGATATTGATTGTTCTTTAAGTTTGAAAGATTATTTCATCTTGTTAATGGGGATAAAATTTTGAAGTCAAGGTCGAATTTTTATTTGTTAATTATTCAATATTTTATTTGCCCCATGCCCTTCTCATACTCCAAGTTGTTTTTGAAGAGTCAAGTTCTGAGAGTTAGTCTTCTTCAATAATTACATAAAAAAATGTTTCTTTTTGTGACTCTGAGCTCATAGCTATCTTTTCTTAATTATCAATTATTGTTTCTGCCATACAGTGATGGACGTCTTCAGATTGCAAGCATTATTTTAATTTTTCCTCCTTTTTCTTTTTTATTTTTTTTATTTCTTTAGTTGTGTTTAGATAAGATAACATGTATTGTTGTAGGGTTGATTTATTTATTTATTTTTTTATTTTATGTTGTGGTGTTTCGATTTGGATGATTTAGGGAGCTCTGAGCACTGGTCCTGTGCCGTGCTTCCTTGCCTGCATTTCCTCCATAAATGGGCTGTTTCAACTCTAAGGCAACAAGTCAGTTTCCTGGGCAGGTGGATCCAGTAATTCTTGCATCACAAACAGCCTGTAAGTTGATTAGTTTTTCCAATGAAATGATGCAAAGCTGTAATTCTCACAATAACAAGATTGTGGTTTGTTGTGATTGTCACTGTTTTATTGAATTCTAAGTTTACACACTTCCGAGGCGTTGCTTCTTGTGAATTATTTACTCTTGGTCTTGCACTCTTGCTGGATGAATCTTACAGTTATAATAATAACACAAAGTTATAATAATATTCTGTAAGCGCTTGCAATTATGTATGGTATGTTTCCTCTGGGGTTTCTGAGAAGGGAAAGATTGCAAGTTTGCAGCCAAACAAAACACAGTTCACTTTATTTGGTTTATTGTTAAAGGTAGGCACAGTTGGATCTGTAAAGAGTAGCACTTCTCCTTGGGCCTACCCTTTTTTAATCTATCTTAATTGGGCTACATGAAGTGAAACAATTTTCATTTGACAATCTTTGTCAGTATTGCTTGTGCTGTATCTGCTGGTATATATGAATGTAATATTATAAGTTGCATTTCTTCTGTATTTTGTGTAGTAAACCAAACCAAAGTAAAATGTTGTTAGTTGCTTTCTACTTGCAAAATTGAAGAGATTAAAGAATAGTCTCACATCTTTTCTCTGACATTAGAATCTGTAGCTTATAATCCTGTCTTTTCTATTCTGTCACCACCTCAAGTGTAAAAGGCTGTTTTTTCTTCCATTTGCTACAAAACTTTTCTCCTCTTCGGAACACACAATTTTAGACCTATGCATTCTGCGAGCTCTGCTGATTTGAGAAATAAAATCTAGATTTGTTGCATTTGTTAGTCATTAAGAAAAAAGTTTCCATCCATGATGCGCATTTGTTATGCAATCGCTCTATCTCTACTTCTCAAGGACTCATGTTAGTTTTGTAGTTTAAACTGGTGTATAAATTTTTGGTTTCCCAGTCACTGTCAGTGAGGTTGAAGCCCTGTTCGAGCTTTTTAAGAGCATCAGCAGTTCTGTTGTTGATGATGGACTAATAAGCAAGGTACTACATAAAAAATTCCTTCTTTCTATCTCCAGTTGTTCCCTGGGAGGAACTTAGTTATATTCTGACATCTACCTTGTGATGGGTATTTGTCAAGAGAAATTAGTTCATTAGTTTTGCATGTGTAGTTTATCACAAGAATTCAGGCCATATATTTTGGTTTACAAAATTTTGGAAATTTCTGTTTAATCATTTATGTGTCATATGGAGATAATTGGTTTTGATTTTCTGAATGATGCTTCCAGACATGAATGATCTACAGTATATTATCTCTTTTCTTTGATTTTTTCTCTCACATATTTTGATTTTAGCTTATTTTTTTGGCTTTATACTTCTTCATATATTATCGTCCTAATCCAGTTGACACACAAGTTTATTTTGGTTATTTGTTCTTCAAATTGAATTCATAGTCCATATTGTGGTCACGGGTGTTCTTTCTTTGCAGGAAGAATTTCAATTGGCGATCTTCAAGAATAGGAAAAAGGAGAATATCTTTGCTAATCGGGTACTCTACATCATACTTGTGCTTTCTTAATATTAATAACTATGTCATAATTGTTGATGTTTCCTGCAAGCATGTGTGAATGTATATAGGCTGACCCAAATGTACTCTTTAGATCTGATAGGTTCCAAGAATTATAAAAGTCTAGAACTTTAGAAAAGTAAGCAAAGGAAAGCGGAAGACACAAATGCTAGGAAAACAAGAGAGGGAGTCCTCTCTCCAACTGATAATGGCTTAGTTAATCTGTTATTCTGCCAAAAGTGCCTACCCAATACAATTTCTCCTATGTAGCTACTACTGACCTAACCTCCTAACTTGCCTTGTAACTGCCTATAACAAACCCATTTACTCCCTACTGTTTATTTCTTTGGGAATATTGCAATTGAAGTAGGGTATTGAAGAAATTTTCTGTTTCACTTTATTTTCCAGCAAGAAACTCAATGTACTAGTCCTTTCAATACAAGCCTGTAACTTGTTTATTGTGAACCATTTTGTTCGGTCCAATATTTGTCAAATTTATACATGCAGATTATTTTTATCATCTCCTTGTTTCCTTTTTGGAATAGAAATCAATGTTTGATTACCTTTGCAACTTTGTTATTGTTGAGATATATAAAACCATTAATGTAGCCTCACCCAACAGCTTAAGCTTTTGGGTTGAATTGGTTCTTTACATGGTATCAGAGCCTCGGTGTACCGGGTTCGATCCTCACCGCCCCCCACTTTCTTTCTAGTGGAATTTCTTTCTTCGCACAGGTAGGTGGGCCTGTGCATTGTCCACCCTTCAAGCCCAATGGGCTCTTGTGTGAGAGAGGTTGTTGAGATATATAAAACCATTAATGTAGCCTCACTCAACAGCTTAAACTTTTGGGTTGAATTGGTTCTTTACAGTTATTGATTTCTTCGTTGACATGTTATGTCATTCTTGTGGCATCTCCATGAAGTAGCCTTTTCAATTGACTAGATATCTGTTGATATCAGAAATTTTCTACATGCAGATCTTTGATCTATTTGATGTCAAGAGGAAGGGAGTCATTGATTTTGATGACTTTGTTAAATCTCTCAACGTCTTCCACCCAAATGCACCACTAGAAGACAAGATAGATTGTAAGTTAAAGATCAAATCCTCAACTCATTGTAATTTACCCTTGATTCCTTACTGTGATTTAGTTGTGCTGATATATTGGGTTTGGGTTTTTCTTGCAGTTTCATTTAGGCTTTATGATTTGCACAATACTGGCTTTATAGAGCGCCAAGAGGTAAGATGGTGATTATTTGTTCATATACCCTTGATGCAACTAAAGTGTTCAGTTTGACAAAACAAAAGAAGTGCTAATCTACACATCGATATGTCTCTGTTCTAAACTGATGATTTTCAGTTTGGTCTTGTATATTTAATCATTCTTTTTCGTGATTTCTGACAGGTCAAGCAAATGTTAATTGCGCTTCTTTGTGAGTCTGAAATGAAGTTGGCAGATGAGGTGATAGAAACAATTCTTGACAAAGTGAGTTGTGCTTGTAAAATTCCTAGATAATATCAAATATTAGATATGAAGCATTTTTGTAAGAAATATAGTTTATTGATGCTGTGTTGTAACCTCTCTTTTTTCTTCCCTTAATTATCAAAAATTAAATAAAAGGCTTAAGCTCAACATTGTATTTTTTGGGGCCAGACTTTCTTAGATGCTGACCTGAACCAAGATGGGAAAATAGACCTGGTCGAGTGGCAGAAGTTTGTTTCTGAGAATCCATCACTGCTAAAAATCATGACCCTACCCTATCTGAGGTATGTCTGGAATTTTCTTTTATGGTAAATATTAATCTAATTTCATCCATCTTTTTATGTTCTAACTATGTATAATACTTTATGCAGTGATATAACAACTGCTTTCCCAAGTTTTGTATTCAACTCTAACGTGGATGAAGTTGCTGCTTGAAAGCACCAAGCTTTAGGTTATGCAATTAGTGAGAAAGTTTGGTGTATTTATAAGAGACAGAGATGAAGTAATAGATGCCATGCATGATGTAGTTAGCCTTTCTCAGTAAGTTGTAAATCACATTCTCATTAAAATTTTCCAGTCAGGTTTGAAGTTAATGCTTTGGTTATTATTATTATTATTATTGTTATTATTATTAATGCTTTTCTTTTCCCATTTATGGAATGCCTCACATTTATAAAGGTGAAAAAGATGAAGATCATGTCAAAAAATAAAGAGTGAAAAGGTGGGTGGAGTGCTACATGTTATGACGAAAAATTGTTACAAACTCCTCAAAATTGATTCTATTTTGTGCAATAAATAATTGAAAATATTGAAATGCATTGGGGATACTTGGCTGGAAAAGTATAATAAATAGTATTTGTATATTTATTTCTTAGATTACTGAAATATCTAAATGCGTTATTAAAATTGTAATTGAAAATAAAACATCTTGAGGGTGGAATTTAAAATATGGGATTGATGTTAAAAGAAGATAGAATTGTGTTATTTTAAATAAAAGAAAGAAATATATAATGGAGATCATGGGGGGAAGTGGGATGATTTTTTTTTTAATTTAAATTTTAAATAAAAAATATTAATTTTAACTAAAATAACCATGCTTTAAAAGAATAAATATTTTTCCCTTAAAATAGAGTTAAACACTTTATCTCATTTTAAATTTTTAACAAGCTTGATTAAAGATCACCTTTTTTTTATCAATTGCACTTGAAGGGTAAAATTTCTTAATTTAACTTAATTGTATCACTGGCAAACAAGAGCTTAAAAGAAAAAACTGCACAAAGAATATGATAAAATCTTGAGCAGGCTAGGTAAGTAGATTTAAAAAGTTTATTTATGTCCTTACTTGACAAAATCAGTGATTAAATATAACGTAATAATTTTACAAATATTTTCAGGAGCTTATGTGGCACAAATTATATTTGTCATTTTAACTTTTTTACATGTTATATTGCCTTTTAATTTAATTTTGTTTTTTAATTTTGTCCTATAACTTATTGGATTAATACAGTATTTTTCTAATACTTAATTTTATTAATACTACTAATAGTGTAATCTTACGTGGCTCCCAATGAAAAAAAAAAAAGCAAAGTAAGGTAAGGATAAAATTGAAATTTTAGGTAAAATTTTGTCCTTACCTAACTTTATTTTACACATTAGGAACTATGCAAGATTATAAAATTAAATTACGTGTTTAATTCTCATTAGTGTATAAAAAAAATTAAAATCGATTGAGGTTTGTAAAGAAAAAAAATAAAAATCGAAGTAGTAGTACTTTCTTTTCTTGTTCTCTAATCGGGTCAAAAGCGACGTGTGGACAGAAAAAAGCCCCCACATATTCATATTAATTTTTATATCGTTTTAATCCATTTCGATATTTTTTAAGTAGGTAATCCATTCCGATATTTTGTTTTTCATCTTTTATGATTGATCTGATAACCTTTTTTTGAAGAACTAAAAGGAAAATTGGCTCAAATGTCACCAATAGCATAATCTGTTGAAAAAATCTCTAACCAAAAACCCATATTATATTAACAAATATATGAATGGAGTTAGAATTCGAAAAAACGAAGTCAGGCATTAAGGGTCTGTTTGATTCTTGTTCTTAAAAACAGTTTTTAAATTTTTAAAACAAAAAAATAAAAAAATTTGTTTGGGAATAATTATTTTGCAAAATGCTTCCCAAAACAATGACTCTTTTTTTGTTTTTAAAACCAGAAAACTAAAACAACTTGAGGATGTTCTCCAGCGTTGTTTGCGATTTTTTTTTGTAGGCGGTGGCAAAATTGTAATTATCAGTATTAATTAATGGCAGTTTCGTAAATATTAGATGGCATTTTTGTAATTCTAAAATTTTATTAATGACAGTTTCGTAAATATTAGATGGCATTTTTGTAATTCTAAAATTTCATTAATGACATTTTTGTAAATAATTACAACTTATTTATAACTTTAATTTAACTACACTCAAACAAGTTTTTTTGCTTTTTTACTCTCAAAATCAGTTTTTTAAAATTCATATTTAAACCAGTTTTTGAAAACAAAAAAACTAAAACACTTTCAAACACACCCTAATTTTCCCTCTCCCGATGTATCTTTTTTTTTTTAAAAAAAAAAGGGATAAACAAACAATTTTAAAACTAAAATAAAAAGTTTGATAGGATAGGTATATTTTTAATTCTTTCTTAAAAAAACTTTTTAAAGTATTCAATAATAAAAAGGGAAAAATATTTGTCCTTTTAAAAAATTATGTAATTTTAAGTGAGAGAAAGAAACAAACTAATATTTTTTATATAAACTTTAAATTAAAAAAATATACACTTTCTCCCCATGATTTTCAATACTTGTGTCTTTGCCTTACTTAAAATGACACAATTATATGTCTTTTTTAAAAGGACAAACAACAAACCTTAATAAAAAAGTAACTAAAGTACTAGAGTTTTTTTACCATTGTGCCCCTCATTAATTAAAAAATAATCATTTTTTTCCTAATCCAAAATATTCCACCAATCTGCCCTTGTTTGACTGTTGACTGAAGATTTAATCGATTACAACACGTATGTAATTGATTACATATTAAATAAAAGCTTTGACCGTTGACCTGTTATGCAATCGATTACGAAAATGGAGTAATCAATTTCATAATGTAACTGTTTTTTTCATTTGGCTTAAGGGGGTTATAAACGAAAGGTGTAATCGACTACCCCAAACCTTAAGGCATCAATTCGTGATTTTGCCTGAAAATCTTCAAGAATCGTGTGCTGGGTTCACAAGACAACATCATTCGCTCATTTCTCTCACTTATTGGTATGTTTTGTTCTATTTCTTTTTCAGTTCTTCTTTGTCTTTTTTCGGGTTTAAGAACCCTAGTCTGATTCTTCAAAGGTTTGGTTCGATTGACATGAAATTTTGCTATTATTCTTCGGTTTTATGGTTGTTTAGTTTAGGTTTTGATGAATGCATATGGTTTAGGGTTTATGTTTCATAGGTTTTGTAAAAAAAAAATTGTCGAATTTCTGGTCTGATTTTTTATTTTTTTTATTATATTTGTGTTTTGTGCTGTTGATAAATTATCATGTTTGTTTGCAGGTTTGTGTTGTTATCATGGCTGGTAGATGAGGTTCGAAGAGAGTAGTAACCGACACCGAAAAATGGACCAAGCAACGCTAGGACCGTCCTTCTTCTTCAAGGACACAACAGCTTGGGCATGTGGACCTCCCATTTGGGTAATTGCTTGATGATGATCCCTCGGAGCATGCACGATTTATTGATGATCTTTTTAGTAGACCCATTTGTTAGCCAAAGGCATTGGATTTGGCATTCTTTTTGTCGGAGGGATTTGACTTAGTGGCATTGTTGGAGGGTCACATTTGAGAGTGCTTGCTGATGTTATATCCATATTCAGAGGTTATGGTGAGGGCCTTCTACTATAACCTCAACTATATACAGAGTGAGCTGAGGTCTCATGTTTACGAAAAGGACATAGTGATGACGACTCTGATATGGACAAAGTTATTAGAGTACGACTTTGATGGTCATCTTACAGTGGAGTATGATGGGAAAAACAATGCCATCATTCCTAGATTTGTGCGAGATGATATTGTGGAGGAAACCAGGAGGCGTGATATCAGGCATGGGCATGATGTTGTTTATACTGTAGGGTTGCTTAGTGTTGATGCTCGTATCTTGCACTACGTCATCACCTACATATTGTTCCCCCGAGCTTTCAATCATGTGAGGGTGTTGGAGGGTGACTTTCCTCTGTTGTACCTGTCACGACATATAGGTGAATTAGGGGCACTACATATGTTGGATCATGTATAAGGCCAAGCATAAAGGTGCATTTCCAGATGCCTTTCGAGTTCAGAGGATATTGGAGCATTTTGATGTTCCCATGGAGACTGAGTGTACAAAGAGGCTCACATGCTATAATGCCACGTTAGAACAACGTCTATTGGAGCAGTGCAAGATCTCAAAGATGGATGCAAGTGTGTGGCAGTTCACAAGATAGGTTGAGGTTGACATCCCTGAGGTTGACCCAGATGAACACAATGTTGAGGCTAAGGCGGATGATGGTGACGAGGATGACCATGCTGACCTGAAGGAGATAGTTGAGCCTAAAGGTGGATTCACCTTTCGTGATGTCATGAAAAACATCAATGCCACACTTAGGAGAATAACAAAGATGGAGCTTAAACAGAAAAAGAGGTGAAAGAGCCATATAGATAAACAGAATGAAAGGTTTAAGCACATTCAATATCGATTCAAGGGCTTGGAGAATAGGCTTGGTCAACTGGAGCTTGAATGAGGATAGGAGGCAACAGGTGATCATAAGGAGGGGGTTGATGTGTCAGATGAGAGGGAAGAGGATAACAAGTCAGATGAGGGGGAGGAGTAGAGTTCCTTTGTATTTTCCATATAGATGAGTGCCATCAATTTAGAGCATGGGCTTACAGTGTTTGAAGGCCTCAATGCACTGGTGAAATGTGCAAAAAATCCTATGAAAGACGACCTTGTCGGGATAAAATCGACGTTAGTCAAAACACTCACGCATATCAAGCTTAAAGACAGAACCCACATTACACTGTGTCATGTATGTCAGTTAATTGGGCAAAAATGCATATGATTTGTCCCAGTCACCAAATAACTTCGCAATGCCTTTCATTTTTTCCTTCAAAGCCTTCTTGTAGGTTATACTGTATCCATACAGACATTGTATCCTCTCTTGTATCAGAACTAGTTTTAAAGATGGATATTCCTTTAACATGCCTATAAAAAATAAAGCAAATTCTCAATATTGTTAGTAAATATTTTCCACTAAATAAATAAACATAAACAAACCATATGTAACTGCACATCATACAAAACATACTCATAATGGCTGCAAATAATTTATGAATCCAATTGTCTATGATCCCGGGTAAGATCCTGGTTTAGGAATGTGTAATCTTTACACCACTTATCGACCACCCCAAGTATTTCCATTCTTGGGCATGATTGCCGTCACATAGCAGGGACAACCGTTAGCATGGTTTCAACACTTCATCACAAATCTATGCTATCGCTTTCTGCAACTATGGTTGTACGATGACCCTTCATACAATGTAATTTCATGGCATGTTGCATTTCAGATTTGTAACAAAACTCTTATTGCACATATAATGGATCCCTTAATTGCCAACCACTGTGGAAGTCATCGTCACCATACAACATCTCCTTCTCATCATTAAGGTGCACCCAATTAATGAAGGAATAATGTTGGCTTTTATTCCAAAATGGCTTAATCTCTGGCCTACATCTAAAGCATGATATTTTTTTTAAAAGCAATAACAACACAAATATGAAATGTTAAATAAGATTTGAAATTTACTAACTTACTACTGCTAACTGAGTCAACATGAAGTGGTGACATAGCCGAGGAACTCAGGTTTACTGGGTTTGTGTTAGCGATAAAATCACCCTCCATGTCAGTATCTAAGTTGTCACCTAGTGGAATAACACTCTCAGGTTCTCCCTCCTCATCGAACAATTTTAAAACTAAAATAAAAAGTTTGATAGGATAAGTATATTTTTAATCCTTTCTTAAAAAAACTTTTTAAAGTATTAAGTAATAAAAAGGAAAAAACATTTGTCCTTTTAAAGAACATAGAGTTATGTCATTTTAAGTGAGAGAAAAATACAAATTAATATTTTTTATATAAAATTTAAATTAAAAAACCCGTTTCCCCCCCCCCCCCCATGATTTCTATTACTTGTATTTTTTTCTCACTTAAAATGACACAATTCTATATCCTTTAAAAGGACAAATATCAAACCCTAATAAAAAAAATAACAAAGTAATTGAAGTACCAAGGCTTTTGACCATTGTGCCCCTCATTAATTAAAAAATAACCAATTTTTCCCTGACCAAAAACATTCCACCAATATGCGAGTGTTTGATAGTCGACTGAAGATTTAATCAATTACAACACGCACATAATCGAATACATATTCAAAAAAAGCTTTGACCATTGACCTGTTATGTAATCGAAACTCCTGTTGCATTTCAAATTTGGAAGAAAACTCTTGTAACACATATAATGGATGCCCCAATTGCCAACCACCGTGCAAATCATTATCACTATATAACATCTCCATCTCATTATTAGGGTGCACCCAATTAATGAAGGAATAATATTGGCTTTCATTCCAAAATGACTTAATATCTGGCCCTACATATAAAGCATGATATTTTTGTCAGAAGCAATAACAACACAAATATGAAATGTTAAATAAAATTTGAAATTTACTACTTACCAGTGCTAACTGGGTCAACATGAAGTGGGGACATAGCCGGGGAACTCAGGTTTACTGGGTTCGTATCAGCGTCAAAATCACCCTTCACGTCAGTTTTTGTGGTGTCACCTAGCGGAATAATACTCTCAAGTTCTCCCTCCTCATCGTTGTCCATATCCTCCTCCTCTTCCTCCCCCAATGTTATCTGACTTAACATTTATGTAGTTGCAGATAAACCGACAACTCTGTCTTCTTGACCAAAATATTGTGGAGCTTGTATGCTTGGGTAAAGATAAAGACTGACCATAATCAACTTCAACATATATCTCAATAAAATTTTGTAATTTTCGGTCAGCAAATGCATCTATAACACACTCCATATCTTCATCATCACATATACCATTACTAATGAAGTATATAATATCCTTACCAATTATAGTCTCTACCCTCGCTATTAACATATGAATGCATTGACTGCCTTGTAGCCTCAGATTTTGGTGAATTCTCCCATTGAGCTCATTGTATTAAGTGCCTAGTTTTATTTTCATCATTTTCATTTTCTTTCAAACTGGACACCATTGCGACCTTCAAAATGCCTGCCATTGTGGTAGATAAGTATAATATAAGTGTTTGAACTTGAGCTCATTTTTCACACGAAATTGGGACTTGGGTTTGGTTTGGTTCGGATTTTACAAAAAAAAAAAATGGAATATATAAGTGTAATTACAATAATTTCACAAGATTAAGGCTTTAGAGATCGTGAGATGAAATAAAATCTTGATGGGTTGAAATAGAGACGAGAAACGAGGTAGATTTTGGTGTAAAAATTGGGTATAATTGAAATAAGACTAAGACATATCGATATAGGGTTTCTGGGCATTATATAATCGATTACGCTATTGTAGTGTAATCGATTACATAATGGGTCGACTATCAAAGCTTTTTTGAATATGTAATCGATTACGTACACGATGTGATCGATTAAATCTTCAGTCAAAGCTCAAACATGAGCAAATTGATGAAATGTTTTAGGTCAGAGGTAAATTAATTATTTTTTAATTAATAAATGGTAAAATAGTCAAAAAGCCAAATGTAATAAATTTATAGCTAAACCCCAAGACAAAATTATATTTGATGATTTAAACATCTTAAGGATTAAATTTTTATTCCCTCTAAGCCACTTCATAAACCTTTGAATATTACTGCCTGTGTTTTTTCATCTCTTAATTTTTAGCCTAAGCCGCTGAACTAAAAGCAATTAGACTAGAATATAAGAGAAATCAAGCGTTGTTTATTATAGACACTAAAGGCTCGTTTGGTGGACATGATAAGATAAGAGTAAGATATGATATGGGGCTGATAAGCTTATATCATGTCCTGTGTTTGATGAGCACCTGATTAACAATCTGATAAGATTATGTAGAAGGAGAAAGGAGAAAGAAAAAACAAAATATAATACAATAAATACAAATATATTGGGTAACATGGGGATATATTGGGTAGCGTGAGGATATAATGGGTATCCAATATTGATATTCTATTATGTTGAATCCTAACCCAACTCTCTCCACAGGATAAGAAATATGTATTGAATAGGATAAAATGAGACAATACGATAAGCTAATCATATCCTATTGACCCACCAAACAAGAGATAAAAATACGATATGATAAGTTATCCTATCCTATCTTAAAAGAGGCCCTAAATCAATAACATTCATATATACTTGTTGAACAAAATAAAGTAATAAAAATTATCCATCCATTTAAGTAATAAAAAATTAAACTAAAATGGTAAATATACTTTCACATTTAATTTAATAAAATTATTTTGTATATAATTAATAGCCTAGATATTATTATAAAGTGTTATGAAATAAATTTGATGAAATAAATTTAATTTTATATCATGTATTATAATGTTATATTTAAATTGTTCCATTGTTTTTCCCCTATTGTTTACCAAAAAAAAATTTGTTCCATTGTCAGTGGTAATAAAAATAAAAATAAAATTTCTCTTACCCAATATTGTATACTGTAGATGTATTGATTCATATATGCATTCTTCGTTAGTTACGTTAGGGTTTACACTTCGCGTTCAATACTCATCAGAGTATCCCAATCTTCTATTGTTTTTCTTCGGAAATTCCCAAAATCTAAAATTCATCGACAATGGGGTTCGAAATTGTGCTCCTTGAACATCGAGTTGAAGACTTTCAGTCTTTGGGTTGCATGTGTATGCATAAATAAAGCTCAAATAGCATAGGCATGGTGGCATGTTGCTTCCTTTTACCAAATACATTCTATCACGTAACCACTTCGTCAGAAAGGCTTCTCCTTTACATAGGATATTTTGTGGGTATGTCAATCCATTCGTGCAAAATTTTTCCACTTCTGGCCACTGTGAAAGATTACCATGGGAACGTTCCACCCAAGAAATTCTATTGGGGAAGCTTAAATCTGCTTTGAGGAATCGTCAAGTGCATGAAGCATGGGAATTCTTTCAGGATTTCAGAAGCCTTTATGGCTACCCTGATGTTCACCTTGTGAACCAGCTCATTGTTCAATTGTCCTATTCTTCCAACCATGTTTGGATGCGAAAAACATGTGATTTGGCATTGCAGATTGTTAAAGAGAAGTCAGGTTTACTTCATGTTGATACCTTATCCAAACTTGCACTTTCTCTAGCTAGGTTGCAAATGCCATCCCCTGCCTCAGTGTTACTCAGATTGATGCTTAATAAAGGGTGTGTACCCCCTATGCATTTATTGTCCTTGGTTGTTTTTCATATTGTGAAGACTGAAATTGGAACACATCTTGCATCCAATTATCTGTCTCAAGTTTGTGATTTTTATAATTGCTTGAATGATAAAAAAGCTCACCATGCTGTTGCTGTCAAGCCTGACACCTTGATCTTTAACCTTGTTCTTGATGCTTGTGTGAGGTTCAATTTGTCTTTGAAAGGCCTATGCCTCATTGAATTAATGCTGCTGAATGGTGTGGTGGCTGATGCACACTCAATTGTATTAATTTCGCAGATTCTAGAGATAAATGGTTTGAGAGATGAAATGAATGAATTGAAAGATCATATTGATGTAGTTCCCGCTGCTTATGTTCGTGACTATCGTCAGTTCTATGATAGTTTGTTGAGCTTGCACTTCAAATTTGATGACATTGATGCTGCTGCTAAGCTTGTTCTGGATATGAATAGCTTACATCATTGTCATATTGATAAAGAATATAGGAAACACTTGCAAAAGCCTTGCTTTATTGCCATTGGATCTCCTAACCTTAAGACTGCATTGAAGATACATATTGAGCCTGAGCTACTGCAGAGGGATTCTGTCCTTAAAATGGAAAGTAGACAAGGTCTTATTCTTTATAGGGGTGGGAAACTTGTTCTTAGTAACAGAGGTCTGGCAAAGTTCATCAGTGGTTACAAGAAAGATGGGAGGATTAGTGAACTTTCAAAACTTTTAATTAGCATTCAAGAGGAACAATATTCAGTGGTAGGATCCAGTTTGTGTTCTGATGTGATCGGTGCGTGTATTCAGTTGGGATGGCTTGAGTCTGCCCATGACATTTTGGATGATGTAGAGGCTACTGGGTCTCCAATGGGTTGGGATACATATATGTTACTCTTGTCAGCATATCAGAAGGGAGGAATGAAAAGAGAAGCAAAGGCACTGCTAAAACAAATGAAAAAGGTTGGTTTGGACAAAGATTTGTCTGATGATGCTATTGACAAACAAATCCTCTACGTGGAAACATCAAATTCACTTGGTAAATCAGATTTGGCTGTTACCTTGGCCCAAATATTGAAAGATGAAGATGAGATAGTTTTTCCATTGGTGTATAATTTCAATACTTCCATCTTCTTTTTCTGCAAGGCGAGAATGATGGAGGATGCACTGAAGGCATATAGAAGAATGAGAGAGATGAAAATTCAACCCACAAGTCAAACTTTTGCTTATTTGATGTGTGGATATTCATCTCTTGGTATGTATCGTGAGATCACATTCCTGTGGGGAGACATTAAGAGATTCATAAAGAGTGGCAATTTGGTGGGAGATAGAGATCTATATGAGTTGCTTTTGCTAAACTTTCTTCGAGGTGGTTACTTTGAGAGAGTGATGGAGGTCATTGGCCATATGAGAGACCATAACATGTATTCTGACAAGTGGATGTACAAAAGTGAGTTCCTTAGACTTCATAAGAATCTCTATAGGAGTTTAAAAGCTTCAAATACAAGAACAGAAGCACAAAGCAGAAGGCTTGAGCATGTTCAGGAATTTAGGAAATGGGTGGGCATTGATTGAAGATCTCTGGTAAATATTCATGTGTTGATGTACCTCTATGTTTTCCAGTACTATTCTCATTGTTCATGGATTAATCAACTAATCTGGTTGAGCCGGTTAGGACCACAAGTTTTGAACACAGCTGCTTATCTAGGATTCGAATTTGAGATCATTGATTAAGTGATTAAGCATGAACAACCCCTTATCAATTGATTTAAATGCCTGGTGGTTACTTGTTTAAAGTTTATTTAATTTTGGTTCTTTGCTCAACTTTAGCAATGTCGGAAATAGGTGGAAATTTTTGTTTCATTAATCACAACTCCGGCCATGATCTAGAGAATGAATTTCCTCATTTTGATCTTGAAATTCCCAATTTGAAGTGGATGCAATTACTAATCATTTTGAGATCTTGCAAATAATGGGAATATATATTTAGAAGGAAAGGAGTCAAATGAACTACATACTAAGTTACTCAACAAACAAAATAAAGGAGGCATTTTGGAGTTTCCTCAAGGGTATCTCTCAGTACAATCGAAGTTTCTCTTGGAGACGTAGAAATCACCGAAATAAATTTTGTCTCTACTAATAAAATATTTTTCATACACACGGCTAGAGAATGAACTCTTGTCAACATGCTTATGGGAGTCAGCAGGCTATTTGACTTTGTTGGTAGCACTTTTTATTTATTTAATCTTGTAAAATTATTGTTGTACGTGGTAAATGGGCCGATATGAGGTTGGGCCACCGGCCTAACCCAACAAGAAACGGGCATATATAAAGGGTTTGTTTTTCTTGCAATTTAGATAGAAATGGAGAAGGAGAAGGTGATGATGAGTGAGGAAGCAATAGAGAGAATATCAGAGAGGCTTTCATGTTTAGAGAAGGAGAACCTTTACTTCCCACGCGCTCTCGAATCCACTTCCGTCCTTCCTTCACAACGCAAGGCCATTTTCCGCGACCTTCTCTCCAGAGACGTTGCTCTTTTCTTAGGTTAATTCAGTCACCTCTCTCTCTCTCTCCCCCTCTGTTTCTCTCTCTAATATGTTTCTCTTTTTATGCAGAACGATATGGTTCACAACTCACGTGCAATGAGCTGAGCGAATTCGAATCGATGAAAGGGGACGATTACGAGGTTAATTGGCACATAAAGCGGTTGAGGAGCGTGATGAGGCCGACGTCGGAGGAGTTGAGGAAGAGGTCGGTGACGGTTAAGAATCGGAGGAGGGCTTACTTGAACAAGTTGATGTGCGATGGGAAATACTTCTCTGAAGACGCGATGAGGGAAAGAGAGCCCTATCTGCATCACGATTACGTCGGCAAGTTTCAGGACCATACCGGCAGAGCCATGGCCCGCCCCGGAGAGCGGTGGTCGGAGACGCTCTTGAGGAGGTGCGAGGAAGCCGAGCTTGTTGCCAAGATTAGAGGTGAACAGCAGAGGATGGGCGTGCCTCAAAGGGATTGGATTGGCAATGACAGATTTCAACAAGAAGAAGAAGAAGAAGAAGAAGAAGAGGAAGAAGAAGAAGATGATGATGATGAAGAAGAAGAAGAAGAGAGGGGAAAAGGTAGTAGCAATGCAGGGCCTGTTGAGGTACTACTCTTTAATCTATTAATCAATTGTATTTTGTGAATTTTATTTTTATGCAGGTTATTTTATTTTATTTTGTTTTAACTAGCCTTTTTTTTTTTGTATATATAAAAGGAGAAATTTATAAAGCGGAAGAGAGAAATTACAAAGAGAAAGGAGGATTTTATCCTCCTAAACGAAATAACAGAACAGAAAACAACCAAGCAAAAAGAATAATTCAATGGAACATAAGGCCATGTAATGTAATCTTATCCCAAATCAAGTGTTTTGCTACGAGGGTTCTGCTCCATCCAAATTACCAATGTGTAGCATAATGAAGAAAGTTAGACTCTTTACTTTTAACTATAGAAAGCTAATCAAGAATTGGTCTAGGGACTTAGGACACACCTAACATTCTCTGAAAATGCCTAATAAGGAATTCCGCAAAGCGATTCTGAGCAAGAACCGCCCATTACAAATGATGTGCTGATATAAAGATTTTTTCTGTAGATATACAAATTTCATTTGGTAAATTCATGACATATATACGCTGTGTGTTGTCTTTGATGTAGAAACAGAGCATTCTGTATACTTTTCCTTCTTTCTCTCCACAGGACGAGTGACTTCCACTGACTAGTGACAATGCTATCAGTTTAAATGTTGTTAATGCTCTTATATGATCTTCTGACTTCTGGTGATGATGTTCGTTAATGTACCAAATTGGTGTCGCCAAATTTAGATGGGGATACTTTGCTTCTTCATTTTATAATTTTTATTTGATTTGAAACCCTGCGACATCTTTACTCATCAAGAGAAAGATGATGCCTCCCATTCATAATAATCTATTTTGAATTAGTCTGTCTAAAAACCAATTAATCTTTATACTTGTGGCAAGCAGGAATAATGTCTGCATTATGTAAAAGTTCTATCCCTCTGTCATTTCATCTTCCAAGAGGAAGAAGTTGCACTTGGGGCTATGAATTGATGTTTTTTATTCGAAACCAACTCAACTGCATACTATCTAAGTCCTGGCTTCTTCAAATCCGTTACATAATCTCAACTATCACTATTTGGAATTGACTTTATGAACTTTCTTCTACATTTGATTTGACCCACTTACTTGTGTATTATATACTCTTGTACCGTACATGGACCAATCACTATATGAAATGATAAGATTGTATGTTAGTATGTAAAATCTTTTTTCTAGTAATTTCTTCTGTAATTGCTAACATGGTCACTACTGGCATATGTTCCCAATGATTATGGTGTTCCAGCAATAAACCCTATATTGTCTACAGAACTCAAGAGAGAAGCAATGTGATTTTTCGTTGATGGTTATATTTTGGATTAAATTCTGATTTTTTAATTATAATCTCTTTGACATGAATTGTCTGTTTTAAACAGTTTGACGACCACTGAAACTAAGTCAGTTGTTTTTGGATCTGCGGCTCCTCATCTTTTGGGACTTGGAGATATTGTAGTGCTATAATGTTTGCCGTATTTTTTGTGGGCTTCAATGATTGTTTTCTTTTTGCTATTGGCAGAGGCACTTGAATCAGCCTGATGTAGTTGATGATGATGCCCTATCTGATGATCTAGCGAGAGAGAGTCGGGAATCAACTTTATCTGCAGAAGAGCTCGAGGACCGGATGAATCAATTCACCTACATTATGCAGCAGAAGTTTCTATTAGGGGAAGATCACGAACATCTAGATTACTCTAAAATAGATAATGATGAGTCTCTTGACGATCATTGGCAGAGGGAGGCCAATATTGATGCAGAGGAGAGATATTTTGCTGATGATTAAACTATAGCATCATACTGGGTAATACGGAATCGGATGTACTGTTGCATAATTTTTGCTCCCTTTTCCCATCTTGAAATCTATGCTGTACTTCAATTAACGGGAAATGTAATATAAGGGTTTTTGCATCTTATATGGGGAATATAATTGTGATTAGCAACTAGTTATTGGTCACACGCGTATTTCCCCCAATTACTCCCACTGTAGGCATCCGATTGTGGCTTAAAATCTTACCTATTATATTAATTTCCATACTATATATTCCTTTAAAGGTCGATGTTTTAGGTTGACAAGTCAAATAGATTAGCACATCAATGTTTAGAAAAGGCGATCCATATAAGAATTTAGCTTAAGTATAATGATTCTCACACCCATGTGAGATTCTGTTGTTATTCCATACCTTGTTATTTACGAGTGTGGGGATAGTTGATAATGGATTTGACCATTAGGAGTAGTACTTGAACCCTCTTGATCAGGAGCTGCAAGAAAGAAAAGATACAAACTTTGAATTCTATGAGGAAGAAAATAATTGCCGCAAGAAAAATTGCATTGAACATACAAACAGACTGTAATTTAATTGATACCCACTTTCATTATTCACTATTGATTATCGAAACTACTATTGAATCCAGTATCTAAATTCAGAAGGTTAATAAGATTTCTGAAATCAAAATCATTGCAAAAAGATTAAAAAGAACCGTACACAATTTATCCTTGATTTATGGAGAACGTCTCCAAGTCGAAACAGCTAACTTGGGGTTTAGAAAAGTTGTTACTTGGTAGATGGTGTAGGTAGGCCGGGAGGGTTATAATTTAAGTTCTAGTGTAGTAACAATAAATGAAAATGGAAAAGGTTATCTTATCACTATTTTAGATTTATTATTTTTATTATCTGATTAATTATCGTTGAAAAAGAAAAAAATAAATGAAAATGGAAAAGGTTATCTTATCACTATTTTAGATTTATTATTTTTATTATCTGATTAATTATCGTTGAAAAAGAAAAAAATTAATTAATTCAACGATAGCTAAACATGTAATAAGAGTAATAAATCTAAAATAGTGATAAGTATTACAGCTTTCGATAAAATTATCTAGGGCACTCCACTTTTTATTTAAAAATGACAAATATAAAAGGAGGTATATGAGTTTGAATATTATAGGATAAAATATCAGGGGAGGTTATACTTATTATTATTTTTTTCTTACTACTTCTTACAATCAAATCTTAACCGTTGATTTCGTCAATTTAACGGTTATAATTTATTGGATCACACTTATCAATTAATTATTATTTTCTAATAAATTATAATCGTTATATTGACGGAAATCAACGATTAAAACTTGACAATAAGAAGTAGTAAGAAAAAAATATAATAAATATAACATTTCTCAAAATATTATACTTTTATTTTTTTATATCTACTCTATTTATTCCTTTTGAATACCTTAAATCAAAATATCTAGTGGAGAAAGAAAAAGATGAAATCCAAGCCTTAAATCACAATCTCAATAGCAGAAAAAAAAAAAAAAAAAAGAGTTGGCTAACAAATATAACATGGAAACACTGAAAAAAAAAAAAAAAAACACATATCATATGATATGATACTGACACGAACATTAAAACACAAATAGGGTTCCAACCAAATATGCTAATCATGACATGCGACGCAAAACACAGTTTGATGCAGCGAGAGAGATAGAGAGTGTGTGTTGTGTATGTTACTAAAATGAGAGGGAGTTGTCGTCGTCGTCGTCCTCCTCCTCCTCGTTGTTGCTTGAGAACAAGACACTAACCACTATATAACACCATTCTATAACACACACACTTATTTCGAATTGAGATTTGAGAAGAGAACCCTAAGCAGCGCCACCGCGAGCAGGGTATGATTGAGGTGAGGCACGTACAGAGAGCAAGCAGGTGTTGAGTCGAAGACGGAGGACGGTATGGCTCATCTTCATCGCAAGCGAATCAACGAGAAGCAACATGGTTATCTCCTTTCCTTTTGTTCTATCTTTCTCTATTTTTCTATGTTAATAGCTCTCTTGGTTTGTGTAGCCACATTGTTTCAACTCCACTGTTCTTGAGAATCAATCAATCAGTCATGTTTTTTGTTTTTATACACTTAGAGGAGCATTTGATTTAAATTTTATCATCAATCTAAATCTAATGGAATGACAATGAACGATTAAGAAATGTCTCCTTTTTAATCTTACCTCAGAAAGTTCTTTTCAATATTAAGGTGGAAACATGTCCCTCACACGCATCTATCTAACATTCATGAATGTGTTCAGATTTGCATCATTATTTGCTTTCCATTACGCTGGAGGAACTTGATGATTGTGTTTTCATGGTTTAATATGAAAAGCTAATGCTGGATAGGAAAGGAAATGGAATGGAATGGAATGTTGCATAAAATGATTTCTCTGAGTTGGCATTTGGCCGTTTAATTCATGTTATTGGTACTACTAATTCCATGACTGTGGCATATTCTACCAGTACAAGAGCCTGAACATTCAAAATTTCATTCTTGAAAATGAAATTCAAAGGCATATTAGAATTTTACCTAATCCGGAAACTGCATTTGGTTATTCACGTTTTTTTTAGAATAAAAAAAAAATTGCTGGTTCTACAAGATAAAAGATGTAAAAGGAAAATGAAAATTTTCCAGCACTTACCTATGCTGAACCTATTGTGCAAATGAGACTGGTGGCAAATAGATGGAGGTGAAACTGACAATTAAGGAGCACAGTGGAGTTTTGGAGAGAACACAATAATTACTTGGTATAGAACTGCTGGGACTGACTTTAATTAGCTGACTTTATCTTCTATGTTTTCGCTGCAGAGGAATCTGAAACAGATAGTGACAAATCAGATGTTAGTGGTTCTGAAGGGGATGATACATCTTGGATCTCATGGTTTTGCAATTTGAGAGGAAATGAATTTTTTTGCGAAGTTGATGATGATTATGTACAAGATGATTTCAACCTCTCTGGATTAAGTAGTCAAGTGCCTTACTATGATTATGCACTTGATTTGATTTTGGATGTTGAGTCTTCCCATGGTAAGCTTGTTTTTTTCTTTCTTGAATTTAATCTTTATTCTATAATTCAAGTGAGTTATGTGATGAAATTGAAAATACTTGTGTTGGCTCTTTCTACCACTTTATTCTGACTAAAGTAAGTCGAAAATTTCCCCACTTGAAGCTAAATTCAAGCTGTACACTGACATGACTTAAGTTCTGATTACCAATTTGGCCATTCTGCTATTTGCTTGTTTGACTGGTACTGTTGGTCCATTGGAATGTGTAGGTGACATGCTCGCAGAGGAACAAAATGAGTTAATTGAATCTGCAGCAGAGATGCTTTATGGTCTGATTCATGCCCGGTACATTTTGACAAGCAAAGGAATGACTGCAATGGTAGGATTTTGCTCCCAGTTATACTTTCTTTCATGCTTTATTGTAGACAAAGTTGTGGTAAATGACATTGGATTATCTACAGCTGGACAAGTACAGGAACGACCACTTTGGCAGATGTCCAAGAGTTTACTGCTCCGGACAACCCTGCCTTCCAATTGGCCAGTCAGATATTCCTAGTTCAAGTACTGTGAAAATATATTGCCCCAGGTGTGAAGACATTTACTACCCACGGTCCAAGTATCAAGGTAGCATCCTTTGAAGCATCTTATTGAACTCCTGTCAACTATTTATCAGGTCTCTTGAGAATTTGGTTTTGGTTTTCTATAGATATATATAGAAAACAGGTAGATAAAGAAGATGAACATTTGAAATTCATATTTATTTTTATTTCAGAAAATAGTTAAACATACAAAACATACAAAGTTCAATAATTCAAAATATATTATTTCATGACAAAGTGGAGAAATTTCGGGAATGAAAATATTGTTATCAGAGTTAGAATTAGATCTCAACTCATGCCTTACACCAAAGAAAAAGGGGGTATTTATAATGTTACAAACCCTACTTTAGAGTTTAGACACTCTAGGACTTCAAAACTTCTTGAATCCGCAAATTATTTCTGACATAGATGTTTGTCTTCTTGTGTCGGCAAGGGACAACATATTTTACTTTTCTAAAGAATATTTCTTTAATATCGATACTTGTCTTCATGCGTCGGCAGGGGTCAACATCTTTTACTTTTCTAAAGAAGAATATTTCCTTAATAAAGATACTTGTCTTCATGCATTGGCAAGGGACAACGTCTTCTGCTTTTCTCAAAGCCAGTTATTTCTTTTGTCTGCTAATTAAAAATATGCCAGGTTGGGGTTCAGGTCTGTCCCGAAACAATCATCTCCATTTTCAAAGTAGGGATTAGATTCAACTTCGAGCTCTGGATCTACTAATTCATCATTTGAACCAAGAGAGGATAATGCTGCTTGAGGAAAATTTTTATACTCTTACTTGGTATTGGCTTTGACATTTACTTGAAACTTAGCTGATCCTGACGAACTAGCTTCCATCTTTTCAAGATTATTTGTCCATTTTTCCAATTCTGGAACTTTTTTCCAGCCAAATTCAATTTTATATTTCTTCCACCAGAAAACCTTAATCTTTAAACACAACGTCTTTGGATAACTAGGCTCTGACAGATGCTGATGAAATTCATATAAATTCTGGAGAAGCCAACTTACTCTCATTTGTGAACAAAATTTAATAAATGTAAGATGATTTGGTAATTCAGGTGTTAATTTCTTGTAATTATCAAAAAGTTGAACTACCTTAACGGGTAATATTGCTCTAATTAGTCCTATTTGTTGAAACCAATCCAAAAACCATGAGAGTATTTCTGAAGAAAGGGGTTTTGTGAAAGTAATATAACACGAGCATATAGGGTATTGTTCCAAAAGAACTTTATACCAGGCCTCTTGATAATCAAAGTAATTAAAAGAAGAAAGGAAATAGGGTTTAGAGAAATTCTTGGTTGTGAGAGGATTTTGGTTCCAATCTCGCAGTCAGCACCATATTTATTTTTAATTTGGAATAATTTTGTAGAATTGGTATCAATATAAATTGATAGAATTTCAAATTCTTCTCAAGGGATTGAGATTTTGGGATCCATTTCCATCCTATAGGGGAGAATTTGGATATTATTTGGTGAGGGGTAAACTAGGTTCTTAGTAATGGCCGGTAGCGCAGCTAAACCGCTACAGTAGCAGGTAGCTACAACTGCGACGCTAGCCGCTAGCCGCGTAGTGTAGCGGCAATACCGTTACACCATTATACCATTAGTTCAAGTGAAGATGAAAGTGAGGGAGAAGATTTATTGGAATTTGATGGAGAATTTGGAGATGATGATGATTTTCTTCATTAGTTCACTTCTTGTATTTGACTATTTGACAATTTTATTGTTCATTTGTGTTTAATTTTGGATCCTTCGATTATGTTCCTTGTATATGACATTGATTGTGGAATTATGTGTTTGATTTTGTGTAACTTCTTATGTTTGAGCATTTATATTTGTGTAGTATTATACTGTTGGTATAATATATGTGGAATTAATACTTTATCGTAGCGGCAATACCACTACACCGCTCTACCATTTTTGGGGTCGGCCGCTAACTGCTACTAATAAGTATGGGGGTAAAGGGAAATTATTTTTGTGCATTTGTCTTTGGTCAAGAGGAGGTATAGGGGTATTCTGGGGAATATTTCCAAGAATGGTGAATTGTTTTGTTTCAAAATAGTTCTTGAAAGTGTTGGGATATTTATTGCTGATTTAGAGGTATTTCCTAAAGATGGTTTTGCTGCCGCAGCCTTAGAGAAGGACTGAGTGAAGTCATATATATATATATATATATATATAGGGAAGTGTGAACATAGGACATGTAAAAGAAAAATGAAATGGCTGAAAACCAAAACTTGATATGACATTTTACAAAGTAAAACCTTGCTTGACATACCAACAAAATATGAGCTTTGAAAGCAAGGACAAAGTGCATAGGGTGAAATTGTCTACAGATAATTCAACCAATCTTTCTCTAAGATTGCGATAGCAAAACCGTCTTCAGAAAATATCTCTAAATTAACAATAAATGTCGCAGCACTACCAAGAACTATCTTTAAAACTAATAAATTAACCACTCTTGGAAATATCCCCCAGAACACCCCTGTACCTCATCTTGACAACCATATCAAAGAAGGATGCACAAAAATAATTACCTTCGAACCCGAAATACTAGACCTTGTTAGGAATATGGCTTGTATGCTCAAGGAGGGGACGAATTGTGTATTACCATTTTTCGTAAAGCATTTCAAGCAAACTTTGATATATGAAAGGCTAGTATTCAAACAATCCATTACATATAATATATCGCAATTATAGAACCTATACTAGTACATACAAGATATCAAATAAGCAATTAAAGTGTTAGAAATAAAGAGTTAAGAGTTTAGAGAATTGCAAACACAATATATCTTGGTTCGGTCACCACCACTTGAGAGTTACGTCGAGACTGAAGTCGCTCGATCAATTATTTCACTAATGGTCAAGCTTTACGGGTGCTTGACAAACCGCTACAACCTTCTAAGACTTCGAGTTCTTGGATACCTTTCAATTTCCAAGTTTACGCTTCATTCCAAATTTACTTAGGTATTTGGTGACCTCTCTAATTCAATGGGTTTCACTACCCTCTCAATTCAAGAATACAAAAGGAAGTGGTTGGAAATAAATATATACTCTCAAACTGTGAATATATAACTTGAAGCACTATGGCTATATGGATTTTCAATATACGAGCTCAAATATGTGTAATCTTTGAAAGATATGAAATGATATGCAAATGATAGTGTAGAAGCTCTTAAATCATCCTTAAGATGTGTAGGAATGATGATCAATTAGTTTTAGGTCCGTCAGGAATGTATATAAAGTGATTTTACCCAAAACTAGTCGTTTATAGCCGTTATAGCTGTTCTACTGCAGAGGGAATCGATTCTCTTGCTGTGGGAATCGATTCCTAACCCTGTTAAAGGTTGGAAATTCGACAACAAGAACATTATTTCGTATTTTGGGCATAACTTGAGCTACTTTTATCATATTGATGTGATCCTGGTCTCATTGGAAAGATAAGAGAAAGAGATCTACAACTTCTATGAAGAACACAAGATCAAATCTATCATCTTGGATACGAAAAAATGTCTTGAAGAAAGTAGCCAAATTATGCAGCAAATTTTAAGTTCAAATGTGTTCTAACTTCCAACAACTTTTTATTAAAAATCTTGATATGATAAATATGTTTTGAACTTATAAAACATGTCAATGATCTTTTCCATGGGTTTTCAAATTTCTCTCAAGTATATACAGGTTATGGATTATGCAATTTGAAAAATATGTTTACTTTGAGAAAAACTTTGAGCTCATACAATTCAATCTATCATATACCTTTACATACAAGTCTAAGTCCTAAAGGTATATTCTAAATATGATTTTGGACTTAGCTTCATGGCTTGTGTCTTGGATCTTTACTTGAACTTGATGCTTTGACTTGTTGGATATCTCAATGCTTAACATTTTGTTGGTTTTGATCATTTTTCACCATAGTTGTGATATTTTATCTTCTCTTAGATGTTGTCCATGGTTTGTTATCTTTGATCTTAATTTTGCTATTCTTCCTTGTTGCGCTTGATTGAATTGCTCTGGACTCCTTGCTATTCTCAAAGCTCATCCATGTTGTTGCAACTTTGATGTCATTAATCTTCTTGTGTGGCTCCAACATGCATCTTCAATCCCTACACATGGTTAATGCTTTTTGCTCTTGATTAAGGTTGTTCTCTTTTTGTTGTTGTCTCTTTGTTATCATTAAAACATACCTTGTATCTATCGACCAATTAATATCCAAATTCCCCCCTAAAGGACGGGGATGAATCCCAAAACCTTAATCCCTTGAGAAGAATTTGAAATTCTATTAATCTATTTTAATTGATACCAATTCTGCAGAAATAAGCCTTGAAGTAGACCCAAATGATCCCTCAAACATGAATTATTCCAAATTAAAAATAAATACTGTGTTGACCTTGCGAGATTGGAACCAAAATCCTCTTGTAGCCAACAATTTCTTTAGACTCTATTCCCCTTTTTCTTTTAATTACTTTTATTATCAAGAGACCTGGTATAAAGTTCTTTTGGAACAAAAAGTCAAACATTCGTGATATATTACTTTCACAAAACCCCTTTCTTCATAAATACCCTCCTAGTTTTTGTATTGGTTTTGTAAAGAACCTTGGGATACACCACTCCAAAAGCTAGCTCAAAGGGTTCTTTACATGGTATCAGAGCCTCGCCGCCCCCCACTTTCTCTTGTGGACTTTCTTAGCACAGGTAAGCTGGTCCTGTTGCATCTTCCACTCTTCAAGCCCAATGGACTCTCGTGTGAGGGGGCGTGTTGAGATATATAGTCTCACATTGGTTGTATGAGCAACTAATGTGGAGTTTATAAGGTTTTGGGCACTCCCACCCTTTGATTGGGGTGGTGTATCCCAAGGTTCTTTACACCTTGGGATACACCACCCCAAAAGCTAGCTCAAAGGGTGGGAGTGCCCAATGTCTTATAAAGACCACATTGGTTGCACATACAACCAATGTGGGACTATAAATCTCAACACGCCCCCTCACACGAGAGCCCATTGGGCTTGAAGAGTGGACAATGCAACAGGCCCAGCCTACCTGTGCTAAGAAACGCTACAAGAGAAAGTGGGGGGGCGGCGAGGCTCTGATACCATGTAAAGAACCAATTCAACCCAAAAGCTTAAGCTGTTGGGTGAGGTTATATTAATGGTTTTATATATCTCAACACGCCCCCTCACACGAAAGCCCACTGGGTTTGAAGGGTGGACAATGCACAGGCCCATCTACCTATGCGAAGAAAGAAATTTCACTTGAAAGAAAGTGGGGGCGGTGAGGATCGAACCCGGTACACCGAGGCTCTGATACCTTGTAAAGAACCTTGGGATAGGTTTCAACAAATGGGACCGGTTAGAGCAATATTACTTGTTAAGGTAGTTCAACTTTTTCAACAAGAAATTAACACCTGAATTACCAAATCATTTTAATTTTATTGAATTCTGTTCACAAATGAGAGTAAGTTAGCTTCTCTAAAATTTATATGAATTTCATCAGAATATGCTAGAGCCTAGTTATCCAAAGAGGTTGTGTTTAAAGATCAAGGTTTATGGTGGAAGAAATATAAAATTGAATTTCTTGAAGAAATATTCAGAAATTGGGAAAATGGACAAATAATATCTCCTTTGACTATTGAAAAGATGGAAGCTAGTTCGTCAGGACCAACTATGTTTCTAGTAAATGTCAAAGCCAACACCAAGGAAGAGTATAAAAAGTTTCTGCAAGCAGCGTTATCCTCTCTTGGTTCAGATGATGAATTAGAAGATCCAAAGCTCGAAGCTGAATCTAATCTCTAATTTGAAAATGGAGATGATTGTTTCGGGATAGACCTTGACCCTAACCTGACAGATCTTTTATTAGCAAACAAAAGAAATAAGTGGCTTTCTGAAAAGCAAAAGATGTTGTCCCCTACCAACGCATGAAGACAAGTATCTTTATTAAAGAATATTCTATTTTAGAAAAGTAAAGGATGTTGTCTCCTGCCAATGCATAAAGACAAGTATCTTTATTAAAGAAATATTCTTTAGAAAAGTAAAAGATGATGTCCCCTGCCGACGCAAGAAGACAAACATCTATGTCAGAAATAATTTGCGGATTCAAAGTCTTGAAGTTCAAGTGTCTTAAGTAGGTTTCGTATTGTAAATACCCCCTTCCTTTGGTGTAAGGCGTGAGTTATGAGAGCTAGTTTCAACTCTGATAACAATATTGCCATTCCCAAAAGTTTTCTGTTTTCATTGTTTCTAGAAGAAAGAGGATTGTGCGATCACCTTCTTGATTGTAAGTTCTCTTCTTTGTCCTGAAATACTGTATTTTGAATTATTGAAATTTGTATGTTCAACTATTTTCTGAAATAAAAATAGATATGAATTTTATATGTTAATCTTCTTTATCTACCTGTTTTATTATATATATATAGGACAGGATCATTTGACCTTCAAATTTAACGTTTGACACCTCATCTGAGAGTTATTAAATAAAAAAAGATCAACGACTCTGATTTGGAAGTATGCGACACCATTGATCTTTTTTGATCTAACGGCTCTCAGATGAGGTGTCAAACTTTAAATTTGACACTGGTGTCAAAGAATCTTACTCCTATATATATATATATATATTCTTCGTTCGTATTTATTATTTCTTTTAACTCAAATCTGATTTTGCTTTTATTTTATTTATTTTTACTTGGGTTCATTGACTACTGCCAACCCCAACTAGTTTGGGGTAAATGTGATGTTGCTGTTGTTGATCTAAAATAAAAAATAGAAAGGAAAATGGATATTGATCCTAAATGTCTTCCTATATGCGTGATTTAACTATCAATAAAAATGACGCAAGGAACTCATCACTAATTCTCGGAAGATTTATTTTACTTGGATGAGCTGGTAGTATATGCGCACAAGACTAAACTTTGTTCTCAAAATATTTCTTTTACTAGCAACACAAGACTAAGCTGTCATATAATGAAATATGTTGATTAGGAACACTGCACGTAATGTTATATCTACCTATGGAAGTCTGGGTACCTTTTGAGGTTTCTTTTGCCATAATAATAGGTGGACACTCAAGCCTCTCTTTATTACAGACATGTCAATAGTAAGGTGGACACGTCAGAGTATTCATAATTAAAACCTCTCTTTGTTACAGACATGTCATTAGTAAGGTGGACACTCAAACACTTCAGAGTATTCATAATTAAAACCTCTCTTTATTACAGACATGTGATTAGTAATTTAGTAGGCTATGTCTCAACTACAGTATTTGAGTTTCTCATATCAATATGTTATATATTGGAAGTTTCTGTTTGACTAGATAAAGATAATTAATGTTCTTCTAACGCACCCTCATCTCCACGATTATAAGGACAGTTTTTTGAATTTCTGACTGAATATTTTTGGAATGACTGCATGTTACTCTTGAGTTTTGGCATAAGGTTGTGGTTTCAATTTAATTTATAGTGGAAAATAATATTCTGTATTTTATACTCAAATTTCCTTAACTTCGTCTAGACATTGATGGAGCTTATTTTGGAAATACATTCCCTCACCTCTTTCTGATGACTTACGGGAATCTGAAGCCACAAAAACCATCAGAGAGTTATGTTCCTAGAGTTTTTGGTTTCAAAGTTCACAAGCCCTGAAGCTGGATGGAGTCTCAAGCTTTCATCAAAGTAAGAGTCTGCGCATGCCTAATACCTTGTTTAGCTTAGTGTTTGTTGTATTTCCTCAAAAACTCAGTGGATTTTCAGTTTTCGAAATCAGTACAATCTACGTCTTCCTGTATTGTAAACTGTAGACAACTACAGCTATGTGCAGTCACCAACTGCAAGAGCTTAATTTTGCTTTCTGCTTCAAATTCAGTGAGCTTTGGTAAAACTTTTGTGATCAATATTTAGGTTAAGTACTTGATTCAATATCAACATCAATAACACTTTTATCCCAAAGTAATTGGGATCGATAGTAGATGAACCCAAGTGAAAGTTATAAAGGTATAAAATAAAAATAATAATAATAATATATATATAAATATAAAAGTAAAAATAAAAGGGATGAAAAAATAATAAAAAAAAAGATAGAGAAGGGGAAAAGATATAAAGGAAAAGAAGGGAAAGGGGGGAAGAGAGGGGGGGGGGGGGGAGAATTAAGAAGGGACTAACTGAAATATACGAACAATAATGGATCTAATCCTCCACCATACTAATAGCTTTTCTCTATTCTGTCATAAGGCACATCGTCCGTCAATTTATATCCCACTCTATTAAGTCTTGTTTTACTACTTTCACCTAAGTAAGTTTCGGTTTATTTCTACCTTTCTTTTTGTAGAGCTTTTGGTAACAAACTTTTGTTTTTATGGGAGCATCAAGGGACCTTCTCATTATGTGTCCAAACCACCTCAATTTATTTTCTCTCATCTTTTCAGCCACTGGTAGTACTCCTACCTTACGTCGAATATCTTCATTTCTTATCTTATCTATTCTCGTATCATCACACATCCGCCTTAACATTCTTATCTCTAGTATTTCTATTTTATGTTTATGTTAGCTATGTGTTGGCTAACATTTAGCTCCATATAACATTGCAAGCCATATTGCTATTCTATAGAAGGGAAAAGAAGAAAAAGGGGGGGGGGGGGTGAAGAGGAAAAGAACTAAGAAGGGACTACCTGAAACATAGGAATAACAATGGATCTAACCCTCTACCATACTAATAGCATTTCTCCATTCTATCTTAAGGCACACCGCCCGCCAATCTATATCCCACTCAATTAAGTCTTGTTTTACTACTTTCACCTAAGTAAATTTCGGTCTACTTCTACCTTTCTTTTTGTCGAGCTCTTGGTATCAAACTTTTGTTCTTACGGGAGCATCAAGGGACCTTCTCATTACGTGCCCAAACCACCTCAATTTATGTTCTCTCATCTTTTCAGCCACCGGTAGTACTCCTACCTTATGTCGAATATCTTCATTTCTTATCTTATCTATCCTCATATAACCATACATCCACCTTAACATCTTTATCTCTGGTACTAACATTTTATGTTCATGTGCCTATGTGTTGGCCAACATTCAGCTCCATATAACATTGTAGGCCTTATTGCTATTCTATAGAATTTTTCTTTTAGCTTAAGGAGAATTTTGCGGTCACACAAAAACCCAGAAGCACTACGCCATTTCAGCCACCCTTCTCTGATTCTGTGATTTACATACTCATCAATCTCTTCGCCTTTTTGCAAATTGGATCCCGGGTGTCTAAAAGCATCTTTCTTAGGTACTTCTTGACCAAGTAGATGCACAGGATCTTGGTTTACATCTCTTACTAGAGAAAACATATTTCATATACTCAGTTTTGCTCCGGCTTAACGTGAATCCTTTAGACTAACGTGTTTCTTCACAATTCAAGTTTTCTATTAACACCGTATTTGGTCCCAACAATAAGCACAATATCATCTGCAAAAAGCATACACCATGGCACTTCCTCTTGGATATCTTTTGTTAGTTCATCCATACCTAAGGCAAATAGATAAGGACTTAGAGTCGAACCTTGGTGTACACTGTAACAACCCCAAACCCTGTAGCAGGATATTGTCCGCTTTGCCCCGCGCACAAGCACTGTCGAGCTCACGATTTTACATTTCGGATTACCCCCAAAAGGCCTCCTACAAGGAAAGGTATCCACACCCTTATTTAAGGCATGCTTCGTTCCCCTCTCCAACCGATGTGGGACATTACATCCTCCCCCAATGGGAATACAGCGTCCCCGCTGTACACACCGGTCCAGGGCCAGGCTCTGATACCATAAATGTAACACCCCGTATATATTCGGTAATGTTATCATACTATCGTATTAAGCAGCGCTTAATTAAAAATGCGGAATATCTTTTTCTTTTCAATTATGATGTCATTATCATTACCAACTTGCTTATTAATCAATTAAAAACAACGCCCGTATGTAATTGCAATAAAACAGCTATCTGAATATACCTCATAATATATATAATAAAAGTGTGGCTCTAGTCACGGAACTACAACAACGTAGACCAGACCATCTAACAGTTTATACAACTCCAATCTAAAATACTAACATAAAGTGTCATGAACAATCCCCATGCTCACTAAAATAAGGCAACATGCCCAACATCAGTCTCAGCAACGACAACATAATCATAAATAGCGGAAAACATAAACAACATCCAAATCCAGTCATGGCAGCAATACAACATAATATCATCAACTAAGCTCTGGCCTCCTGCCGCCGGAGGCATCAGTCACCAAACTACCGGAACCTGAAATAAGCATTTCCCAAACGTGGGGTGAGATCTCTAAACAAGAAATCTCAGTAAGACAAGGGGTCCTCAAGGATCTTCCACTCCAAGCTCACTTACATGTGCAATATAAGTTCAAAAGCAGTTTATCATCATCAGTTCTAAAATAGTGCAATGCAGCAGATAATCATGTCATGTGTGTCAATTCTATTCTACTGGCCAGAGAAATGCAGGATTTACATACGCCAAATACCCACACTAGTGCAAGACGCTACTTGCATCCACCCCGGATCACCGTCTTGTATGGCGCTACATACTCAGGTTTACCGTCAAGATAGAACAACACATGCATATTAAAAGCCATTACACATAAAGCTCAACAGCATTTCAAATATTCAAAGCATGTAATACAACATGCATACAACCATACCCCCATGGGACATGGTGGAACCACAACATGGCTAAATCGAGGACACGAAAGCTTACCTCGCAAGCTAAAAACCCAAACCAAGGTCCACACTAGCTCGAGGTCCACAAACACAATCACAATCTGTTTTAGACCAACAATTATATCAATATTCATATTCCAATATTTTACCATGATAAACAGAATTTCCAGTAACCAAAACGCGACTTATAATAGACACTGCGATCAAACCACTGATCCAATGGCTACGAAAATTTACAGAGTTGTAGCCCTATGTGTTAGCTTCACATAGGTCCAGACGACACTCAATTTGGAGCTCTGTAGCCCAAGATATCGAATTTTTACTAAAACAGGTTTGTTGCTGTCCAGACCAAAATATCCGGATATCTCCAACTGAATATCGGGATATCTGATATCCGGATATTTCCAACCAAATATCGGGATATCACATATCCGGATATTTACAACCAAATATCGGGATATTTCGCGTCAGAATGCAGATTTTGCATTTCGCGAGATATCAATCCCAAGGGTCCATTTTTAACACTTAAACACGTTAAAGCATGCATTTTTAGGCACATTAAGGTTCATACAACTGATGGTTACTTGCTTAACTCATTAAACATGCCAAGACATCTCTTTTAAGCATTAAAACTCAAGAACAAAGGTGGTACAACTTACCCAAGCTTCAAGGCAGTAGCTATGGGTGCTCTTGGAGCTCACACTACAACTCCAAGGTGCTGACACAAAGGGTGCACGAAAATACACTTCAAGGTGGTTCCTTTCTTCACAAAGATCACCATTTGAAGCCCTCACCACCAAGACCAAGCTCCAGCCACCAAGCCAACACTCTCCCTACCTCAAAACAGAAACACCAACTCAAAAGGTGGCTGACTCACCCTCCCACACCACTCTACCAAGTGTTTACCAAGAAAGAAGGAGAAGAATCATAGGAAAAGAGAAAACTTTGGAGGTTTTCCATGAAGAAATGGTGACGAGAAAGCAAGGCACCAAGAGGCTGACCAACACACACAAAATCCCACGCACAAAAAGCTAAAGATCAGCCTAGGGTTGTGTGCAACTAACATATATATAGCCACTTAAGCTTAAAACACGTATTAACTTTAATTTCTACGCTTAGCATTTTAATCCCAAACTTTGAATTTTTAACCTACTCAATTTTACTAAAATTATCATATCTTTATTATATTTTTCTGAGCACCTTTCCGGTACGCGCTTTTCATAGCCAGTATCAGATTCTGGCACCAGTTCTCATTATTTGGACTTGAAACTCGTTTTACAAGTCCTATATATTATTCTAGTAATTATCATGGACTTATTATAATTTTTCGGGATACTTTTTCGGTACGCATTTATACCGACTAGCAGAACCGGTATCTGCACTTTTCTTCCGAAAAGCGACTTTCAGCATTATTACTCACTTACTATAATTATTAAAGCCTCATAATAATTATTAGGGTCAATTATGGAATCATATCCTATTTTCTTATAATTTATTAATTAAATTTCTTAATTAACGGTGCAGGTTCTTACAGGGTGCATACACACTGAGGATATTCAAGATTAAATCACTCACTACAAGCTTAACCAAAATAATCCTGTAGTCTTTACTTTTGACGTCAACAATTTTATCTTTGAAACTTCTATCGATCATAATTCCAACACCATTTTGACTCTTGTTTATACATATATACCACAACTTGAAATCGGTTCCGTCCACTTCTTTGGCCTTTTCTCCAACCCACTTAGTTTCTTGCAAGCGAACAATATTCACTTTCCTTCTAGCAAAAACACCTACTAACTCTCCCAGTTTACCCGTTAAGGTTCCTATGTTCCAGCTTCCCAATCGCATCCTTAACTCCTGGGCGGTGCTTGTCCGCCACGCTCGTCTATTTGCGTGTTGGGACCCTGACATACTTGTCACCAAATCCGGGTGAAGACCTGGCGCCTTGTCTTGAGACAAGGATTTGAGCTCATTTATCGCTACACCCCGTACCGATGTAGCGCCTTGCCTTGTGGCAAAGGCCTTAGCCCATTTTTCGCTACACCCGAGGCTCGATGCAACGTGTTGCTATGAAGGGTACGCCCTAACAGATTATCATAAGGGTTCAACTCATAAATATAGTTGTTTTTTTACTGCTGGCTCCCTACACCTGACACCAACTCTTCTTTATTCTGGATAAGGACAGGCCATGCATGCAAGCATACATAGGCGGAGTTGGTTAAGTACTTGAATGCAGTTAATAAATTATAGGGGCTTTAATCAATTTGTTCCCTTAAGATTACTAAATCTCTGCTGATTTATGTATTTTTTTATATTTTTATTTATTTATGTTTCTTAATAGTTTATAGTTGGACTTACCTTAAAAGATTTGGGCTTCTTTATCTGATTTTGTCAATTGTAAGTGATCCAATTGAACGTCCATCCATCCCAATTCCATAGATTACTCTATTGATGACGATCATTATATGGAATGTGTACACTCTGGATTTAGAGGATATTTCAAGCTTTGAGCCGCAGAATTCACAAAAGTTATTCGCTACACACTTGATATGGTGAAATACAAAATCTATAGGTAATACAAGATTATCTTATTCAAGAAGAGTGATACTTTCGGATTGAATTCTCTTAATTACAAAAATCGTTCTTAAATAATTGAAATATATTAAATTAATCATTAATCAACAATCAATAAATGTTTGGCAGCTAATTAAAGCATTATTAGATACCATAAAACTATTTAAAAAGATTAAATGTTGGGCGGTGCATTGAGCGGTCGAACATTTTCTACCACTCCCTCATGAGGTGATAGCAAAATTCTTAAACACTTCATTTCCATTTCTTTTTGGTCAAATTTAAAAACAAAATTCAATAAAGATCTTTCTAGTGCCTATGAAAACCTCAAAAAAGAAAAAAAAATGTTTATAAATTATGTGATGCAAAACCTGTACTGTCTGTCTGTCGTAAGCCTAAATTCGCTTTCTGCTTCAAAATACCATCTTGTTTTTTATGTGGAAAAAGGTAAATGAAGTTTCCTCTCTTGTAATTCATTGCTTATTTTGTTACTTCAAATTAGATATTTAATTTAGGGATTAATATTTTTCATATTGTAGGAAATAATTTTATTTTTTACATACACATAAAAATGTGAGTTATATTTTTTCGTTCTCTCTCTTCCCAAGCAGGAGATAAATTTAACTCTTTAATTTATTCTCTGTGACCATAAAAACGATAAACCCTTAAATAAAATGGTGAAAGCCTATTTTGAATCAAATTAAATATGCAATTTCAACTTGATTTTATTAATATAAAAACACAAAAAAGTGGGGAAAAGGTATTTGGTAAAATTGATCAAAATGTGTTTGCGGAGATTAATAGCTGTTACCCTTTTTTTTTTTTTTTTTACCAAAAAGTAAATAATTAAATAAATAGAGATAACGAAAAAGAAACAAAAGGAATGGAAGCCGAATTTTTCTGTTAGCTAAACTATCAAACAAGAAGATTCCACTACTATTTTGGTTCTTCTTCCAGAGTTTGGCATCTTTCTATATCTTGATTGCAGAACAAGCTAGCTAGTAAGGACATGGAAATCGAAAGATGAAGGCACTGCCCCCTATTACGGCATAAGGAGACAAGATAGATGACACGGATAAGGACAATTAGTATGGGTTATCTTATGCCATTAGAAGGATAGGCAAGGCAAAGATGGATAAGAACAAAGTAAGGCTACCCAACCAAGTTGCACAATCATATACTAGTGGAGGCTTTACCCATTTTAAAATTGGGATTGAGATATGATATCTTATGTTGCACTCATAATTTTATGTGGATTTCATTATACAGGAAAAAAGAAACGAAAAATTGAAATGAGACTCACATCTATTTGAGTGTGTAAGAGAGACTTATTATAAGTCTCTCTTATCACATGAGATTAATATTTTCCTTTAAAATTATCATCACCTTTAATAATATATATTTAATCATACTTTGAATCCGTTTGATTTTCATTGCTGTCCTTTAGTTGGTATAATGTTATCATCACAATTCTTAATTTGATATAAGAATGTCTTACTTTATTAATATAGAACAACGTGGCACTATTCTTCATCAACTAAAAAGATCTCATGTCATAGTCAAATGACTTGATTGTAGCAATTTTTTTATAAAATAGTTGTTGTAAGTTAAACTTGGGGCTTTTTTACTCTTATAACCCTTTATTATTAATTAATTACCGATTTGACCTTGATTATAAACTATTTCAAAAATTTAACCCCCTCAAAAAACATAACACCAATCTGCCCCTGTTTGACCGTTGACCACCAAGCCTACCCGGGTACACCCCTCTGTACCCGGGTATTTTTTGAAAATTTTTGTCTACCCGGGTAGCGAGGCGTGTACCCAGGTATTGTTCTTCGCACCTGAGAAATTGCTTGAATTATTTACCCGGGTAGAGAGGGGTGTACCCGGGTAAATCTTCAACCACCCGGTATGATTACTCTTTGGATCTCCCATGCACTCTTCTTCTCCAAGCTTTGAATATGGAGGCACCGACTATCACGTGCTCTGCCTCTGCAACTTTTTTGGGTCTGTAAAGCACACAAATATTTTTCGATGATTATTTCAGAAAGAGAATTCTCAGTTAACAGTATAAATCCACAACCACAAACCTTGTCCCATGCATGTCTTCCCTGAACATGATAATTCGTCATTTACCAGTAAAATGAAAAGCTGCATGCTCACACTAAATTTCTGTACCATGAACCCTGTCTTTATTTTCTTTCCGTCTCACTCTCCCCAATAGACCCGGTACCACATTTATATATAGGAGCGCGATTTTGTCGTACATAAAAGTAGACCCCATCATAATCGATACGAACAGGGACCGCTTTGATGAGCAGTAAAGTGTTGATGTATGAAAATTCCAAATCCATTCTCAAAGCTAAAAGCTCTTCAAATTGGTTAGGCATGCTTAACTTGATAATACTGATCTATCTCATTAGCTGTAAAAAAGAGAGAAAAAATACCAAATGGGTGGTCGAAGATTTACCCGGGTACACCCCTCTCTACCCGGGTAAATAATTCAAGCAATTTTTCAGGTACGAAGAACAATACCCGGGTACACGCCTCCCTACCCGGGTAGACAAAAATTTTCAAAAAATACCCGGGTACAGAGGGGTGTACCCGGGTAGGCTTGGTGGTCAACAGTCAAACAGGGGCAGATTAGTGTTATGTTTTCTGAGGGGGTTAAATTTTTGAAATAGTTTATAATCAAGGTCAAATCGGTAATTAATTAATAATAAAGGGTTATAAGGGTCAAAAAGCCTAAACTTGGAGACTAAAGTTAATTTAAATTAAATCATTAAATAGGTATGTATACTTATTATTAGAATGATGAACTTTCCATCATTTCAAAAATACATAAAGATATATTAAAAAATTAATATTTTCCAAAAATAAAAAAATCCAATTGTAAGCTTTTCCATTTCTTACGTTTTCTTGGAGGAAAGGAAAGAGGAGAGTGGCGTTTCCGTAAATTTAGCAGAACCATGTGATTGTTCTAAGGCTCAAACTAACTTTCCAATTCAGGATTAGCATTGAAGAGCTGACACGACTGCAACGCGCCAGATTCATAGTGTGCCACGTGTATATCGTTCCCGGAACAGTTACCGTTAACCTAAGGTAACCGTTATTGAACCGTAAGCGTAGCTATGAGTTGAGAATTGTGACCTGAGAAGAGGCGACGCGACCACAGCTTTGAGGTTCCGCTCTTCCATATTTACCCCTCATTAGGCTTTTATTTTACGAACTAACCATCCTCCTTTCTTTTTCCTTCTTGGTAAACCCTTCCTCATTTATAAGAGGCGTAGTGTTACTCCACAAATGCAAAGAATTCAACAGAATTAATAAGAATTTAAGATTGTTTTTACATAAGTGGTTAATTTATTACCGTTATTTATGAATTTGTATTGTACATTTAATAAAGGTAAATATATTTCTTCAACAACAACAACAAAAAAAGTAAATAGCATTTTAGGTCCCTGACAAAAAATACGGTCCTCACTTTAGTTCTTTACAAAAATAAATTAGTCAGTTAGTTCCTAACAAATTCAAAGTGGATCCATTTAGTTGAAATCGTGGTCCCTCACAAATTCAAAGTGGACCCATTTAGTTGAAATCGTGGTCCCTCACAAATTCAAAAAAGATCTATATTAGTCTCTCAAAAGAACTAAAATGGGTCCACTTTGAATTTGTTAAAGACTAATTGACTAATTTATTTTTGTAAGAGACTAAAATAAAGATCATATTTTTTGTTAGGGACCAAAAGAATGTTTACTAAAAAAAATGAAATCTACTAAAACAAGTGACATCTATTATTATATTTTTTTTATGTATTATGAGAAACATATTCACCTGCAATAAATACACCTCAGCATGGGTTGCAAGTTGGAGAGTGAATATAAGGTGGTATTTTAGAAAATCCGAACAAAGCACATGTCTCTTTGTTTGTTTTGTTTTTCATAGACGCCGGTTTCCAAATCCCACTTATCCATTGAAACGCAACACAAACACACTATGCATTTTACGAGCTCTGGTTTTCTCTGAATCAAACAAAACCAAAGCTAGAAACAGCAACTACGTTAGAGAAGAAAACAAAAAGCTGAATTGCAAAGCACCGTGATAGATACTAATCACTTTCAGGCACACACACCAAGAGACAAAACAAGGTACCATTTTTGTTTTTTGTTTTTTTTGGTATGTTAATGCGTCACCACCACAAATCTGAGCTTTACATCGGAGAAGAAAACATAAACCTCTCTTCCGATTCCACTTCAACTTCACTATCCTTCTCTCCAAATCCAAACCAAAACCATTTCTCAATCCAAAAAATTCCAACTTTTTCTTCTCAACCAGCACCAAACCCGCCAAGTCTCTATCACCATGAACGTTTCTCCAATAACCCATCATCACCATTTCAAACTCCACACTCCTCACCCCACAAGAGGCCTATAATGACCCACCCTTACCCTTCTTCATTCCCAACACCCTTTGGCGCAAAGTTTCCAACTTTGAAGCCTCTCACCCATTTCCGTTTCATTGTTTTCCTTTCCCTTTCCCTTCCTTCTTCTCTCTACTTTCTCGTTTCGTATCCTCGCTTGCTAGATTTCTTCTTCGTGATTGTTTTCTCAACAGCACTCTTGGTTTCTCTGAATCTGGCACTCCCACGCTTACCCTCAATTCGATTATTCCTCGCTCGATCGTTGCCTTCCAAGCTATCTTCCTCTTTTGCCGCCACATATTCTCCTCAGCCTGTTCTTTGGTCTATTGGGTCGAAGCAAGAGCAATTGAAAACCGCAACTTCGGGATCTTGGGTTCAAGTTTATAGCAATGGGGATGTGTACGAGGGTGAATTCCACAAGGGCAAGTGTTCTGGGAGTGGGGTTTATCACTATCACATGAGTGGAAGATATGAGGGTGATTGGGTTGATGGCAAGTATGATGGATATGGTGTTGAGACATGGGCAAGAGGAAGCAGGTATCGTGGGCAATATAGACAGGGTTTGAGGCATGGAATTGGAATCTATAGGTTTTACAGTGGTGATGTGTATGCTGGTGAGTGGTCTAATGGCCAGTGTCATGGGTTTGGAGTTCACACTTGCAATGATGGGAGCCGTTATATTGGGGAGTTTAAATGGGGTGTCAAACATGGACTCGGCCAGTACCATTTCAGGTATGTTTTTGTTCTTTGCCTAACAACATCATCAAAGTTTTGTTTTTTAGGTTTACAATTGTATATTTACTATGCCAGAAATGTATTTTCTGTCTTGGTAAATGTTTGATTCTTCATTAAGCTTGTAAGAATGGAGCCATGTTCCATGGTTCACCGGATTTGAGTGTAGAGTTGGATTAAGTTCTTAGGTTTGTTGGCTTGTAACTAACTGAGTAATTCTTACGTTTGATGGCTTGTAAACTAACTGAGTAATAATTTCAACTGGTCATAATTTGCTACCGAAATACAGCTTGGAAGATATAGAGATTTGACATTATCTGTTTAGGCTTAGTGTTCTCGGATTGTTCAATGCAATGGGACTTTGGTATTTCGGTTGAAACTTGCTGAGAATTTCCTAAACGATGGTTGATACGGCAGCTTTTGTGTAAATCTGATACAAGCCAATTTTATTGTCGTTTTATGAAAGCATTCATTTTTTTGTGGGCAAAAGTTTAGAAATATTTTCATCTGGCCTGGACTGGAGAAGTATGTGTCAGAGCATTATTGGACAATAAATTTATCCAATATTCCAATGCTTCAATTATGACTTCATAAACTACCCATATCAGGTCCTCTTGATATTAACATTTGTTAGTCATTATGATTCTAGACCACTTTTATCATTTGGAGTTTTGGTCGCAAAATATGACTATTCAAATTGTCAACAACGTGTTTTAGGAACACAAGTTGGATTTGTTACATTGCATATCTTGTTTTGCTAGTTTAGGGAGATATTGATTTAGCTTTACTATGCTTTATAGTTGGTCAAACAAAAAAATGCCAACTACATTTTGTTGCAGTAGCTGACGTGATGAATTTTCTTTCTATCTACTTTGCTTTTACTATGGTGTTCAATGAGTTGTTTATAAGGGTTGCTCTAGTTTCTCAATAACCACAAGACAATAATTTAATCAAATGTTCTGTATATCTCTTTCAACTTGCTTGGAACAGCTCTGCCTGTTTCTAAGCAAGCATATATGGGTGGATCAAAGCTTTTCGTCTCTCATTTGTTGTAGACAACTATTTTCTAAATTATTAATTATCTGCCTATGCTGAATTTGCTTCCTGTTTCTGCTAAATAAGAAAGACTTGTCTCAGTATCAAAAATATTATTTCTCAACCAATTTTACCTGTAATATACATATCCAGCTAAAATACTTGAAAAGTGATTGGACTATTGAATCTGTTATTGTGTAGCAGTGTAAGTGCAATTAATTGAAGTATTTCTCAGTTACTGTATCTATTGAAAAGAAGTTTTTGTATATTGATATTGAATAAATTACATGAGTGAGTATTTATACAAGAAAGAATCGCTAAGAATGACTAAGCGATGACTAATCAATCCTATCACAATCCTAATCACAATCAATTCTAATCAATCACAATTAATCCTAATCAATCATAATCAATCCTAATCAATCATAATCAATCCTAATTAATAGGAAATAAAAACGGAAACATGTTTGAATTCTAATTTTCTACACTCCCCCTCAAGTTGGGAGGTAAATATTGATCATTCCCAACTTGCCAATCAAGTCTTCGAATGCTGGACGGTGTAGGCCCTTGGTAAGAACATCTGCCGTTTGCTCTTTGGTTGGAACATATATCAAATGCACACTTCCATCATCTAATTTTTCTTTGATGAAGTGACGATCAACTTCCACGTGCTTTGTTCGATCATGATGCACAGGATTTTGAGCAATGCTAACAGCTGCCTTGTTGTCACAATATAGTTTTATTGGTAGGGAATATGAAATCTTCAACTCTTGAAGAAGTCTTCTCAACCAGATTCCTTCACAAACTCCATGAGCTAAAGCTCGAAATTCTGCTTCAGCACTACTTCTTGCAACCACTGTTTGCTTTTTGCTTCTCCAAGTAACAAGATTTCCCCACACATAGGTGCAATAGCCTGAGGTAGATCTTCTGTCTACTGATGAGCCTGCCCAATCTGCATCAGTGTAGATTTCAATTGTCCTTTTATACCCCTTTTTAAAGAATAATCCTCTTCCTGGAGTATTCTTGAGGTATCTAAGCACCCTATAGACTGCACTAAGATGCTTCTCCTTGGGTGAGTGCATGAATTGACTAATCATACTCACCGCAAAGGCAATGTCAGGACGCGTATGAGATAAGTAGATTAGTTTACCAACCAATCGCTGATATTGTTCTTTATCCACCTCATTCCCATCTTCAATACCTAACTTGGTATTAGGTTCCACAGGTGTCTCAGCAGGTTTACACCCTAACATTCCTGTTTCCAACAAAAGATCTAGAACATATTTCTTTTGTGTTAGAGTGATACCTGTTTTGCTCCTAGCAACTTCCATACCAAGGAAATATTTGAGAGTGCCAAGGTCTTTGAGTTCAAATTGAGCTGCTAGAAATTTCTTCAAGGTGTTCAATTCCTCAATATCATCACCTGTAAGAATTATATCATCTACATATACAATAAGAATAGCAATTTTACCATCCTTAGAGTGTTTGTGGAAGAGAGTATGATCAGTCTGTGCTTGAATGAAGCCTCTTCTTTTGACTGCTTGTGTGAATTTGTCGAACCATTCTCTGGGAGACTGTTTCAATCCATATAGAGACTTTTTTAGTTTACACACTGATCCATTTCCCTTTTCAAAACCAGGTGGAGGATCCATATAGACTTCTTCATGTAAGTCACCATTTAGGAATGCATTCTTCACATCTAACTGTTGCAGAGGCCAATCTAGATTGGCAGCAAGAGATAAGAGAACTCGGATGGTATTGACTTTAGCAACCGGAGCAAAAGTCTCATGATAATCTATCCCATGAGTCTGAGTGAAACCCTTTGCAACCAATCTTGCCTTGTATCTGTTGATGCTATTATCTGCATTGAATTTTATTGTAAACACCCATTTGCATCCTACTGCTTTTTTTCCTTTGGGTAGGGTCACTCTCTCCCAAGTTCCATTTCTTTCTAAAGCATTCATTTCTTCAAAGACAACATCCCTCCATTTTTTATCATTGAGAGCCTCATGTATATTTCTCGGTATCTTTGTACTATCCAACATAGTATTGAAAGCACGAAACCCTGGGGACAACTTTCCATATGAAATATGATTAGAAATAGGATGAGTAGTACAAGATCGAGTACCTTTTCTGAGAGCAATGGGCAAGTGTAGATCATTTTCACCATGACACTCAAGTATTGGGGTGCTGGAACTAGAACATGGTTCAGAATCCTGGCAGTGTAGAGGCTCTGGGTTATTCACACTTTGAGGAGGCTTTCGCCTGCTATAAACTTGTCCCCATTTTGAGGAGGCTCCTGATGGTGAGGATTCTGTAGCTCCCCCTGTTTCCAAAAGTAGAGGTAATACTGTGGCATTAATAGGTTCCCATGACTGATCTTCATCTACTCCTATAGACTTCCCCTGAAGAGAAGTCGAGGGGAAGAAAGGGTCATTCTCAGAAAAAGTGACATCCATAGAGACAAAGACCTTACGAAGAGAGGGTGAATAACACTTATAGCCACGTTGAGTAGGAGAATAACCAATAAAGACACACTGGAGAGACTTAGGATCAAGCTTAGACCGTTGATGGGAGGGAATATGGACAAATACAACACAACCAAATAACTTGAGAGGTAAGGAGGAGACACCTCGGAAGGAAGGGAAAATACGAACAAGACTAGAAAGAGGAGACTGAAATTTCAGAATGCGAGATGGCATTCGATTTATCAGATACGAGGCAGTGAGAACTGCCTCTCCCCAAAGATATTTAGGAACACTCGTGGTAAACATAAGAGCCCGAGCAACTTCAAGGAGATGTCGGTTTTTTCTTTCCGCAACTCCGTTTTGTTGGGGTGTGTCAGGACACGAGCTTTGGTGAAGGATGCCATGTTGGGAAAGATATTCTCCAAGAATAGAGTTAAAATACTCTTTGCCATTATCTGTACGAAGAATTTGTATAGCAACTTGGAATTGGGTTTGAACCATGGCATGAAATTTTTTAAACACGGATGCAGCATCGGACTTATCCTTTAGAAGATACACCCAACAAACTCGAGAATGGTCATCAATGAAGGTAATGAACCATCGAGTACCTGAAATATTTTTAACACGGGCTGGACCCCATATGTCGCTATGAATTAAGGAAAATGGGAAAGAGTCATGGTGAACTTTAGAAGGATAATGAGCACGAGTATGCTTGGCAAGTTGACAAATATCACAAGAAAACAAACTTGGACTTTTATTAATAAATAAGTTTGGCAACAACTTCTGAAGATAAATAAAATTTGGATGGCCTAGCCTACGATGCCACAGCATAACATCATTACATGAATCAAAAGGAAACATAGAGTTTTTTTCTACGAAAACAGCTTCATGAGTCACATCCTCCTCAAAGTAGTAAAGTCCACCATCCTCTCTAGCACTGCCAATCATCCTCTCCGAGTCCTGTTCCTGAAAAACACAACCATGTGGAAAGAATTTAGCAAAGCAATGCAACTCAGAGGTGAGCTTGCTAATGGAAATGAGATTACAAGTCAGAGAAGGAACATAAAGAACTGATGTCAAAGTAATCAGCTCAGAAAGTTTAATGGTTCCGTGTCCCGCAATCTGGGAAAAACTGCCATCGGCGATCTTGACCCGAGAAGGTTCAGAATATGGAGTGTATGAACAAAACAAGCCAAGATTACCTGTCATATGATCAGAGGCTCCAGAATCAAGGATCCAATGATTTTGACTATCAACATGGAAAGTTTTACCTTGCTGGACCACATGACTAGTGGCCTTGGGAGGTTGCTCGTGGTAATAAAAAGAGTGTTTTGAGGAAGCCATGAATAAAAAGAGAAGGGTTGACCGTTGATGAAAAATCAAGTTTTGTAAACTTTTGATCTGACCTCTGGAACAGGAAGGGGAGAAGCCGGCGAGAAGGTCTGTGCAAGTCGCGACGGAAAAAAAAAACGTCTGGAAGGCGGTGCGTGGTGGTGCGTGTAGCGGCTGACGACGATGGGTCCAGCGGCGGTCGACTCGTCGGATCCTTCTGAGTCGAATGGTCACCTCACTTTTTTTGATCGGAGGTCAGTAAACTAGGTTTCTGTGTTGGACAGATTCAAGGCGGTGTTTAGGAGGTGTTTGACGGTGATGGAAGTGTTTGGATGGTTATTTCAGATTTGAATTAGGGTAGGAACGAACCCGCTCTGATACCATATTGAAAAGAAGTTTTTGTATATTGATATTGAATAAATTACATGAGTGAGTATTTATACAAGAAAGAATCGCTAAGAATGACTAAGCGATGACTAATCAATCCTATCACAATCCTAATCACAATCAATTCTAATCAATCACAATTAATCCTAATCAATCATAATCAATCCTAATCAATCATAATCAATCCTAATTAATAGGAAATAAAAACGGAAACATGTTTGAATTCTAATTTTCTACAGTATCAGTTCAAGAATATAACTTTCGAACTCTGTCTAGCTTTATTCTACAATCGTACATCATTAATAGCTGGAACTCAGTATTGAATTTGATTTACATTTCCAGAACTGTATTTTTTTTTTACTACTTCACATTTTTTAACATGGATAAAGAACAACCTCATTGGAAGGAGGTATAAAACTGTTATTGTCATTAATGCTGTAGTCCTTTAAGGTTTCTATATATTGAACGCAATACAAATGAACAATTGTGATTGGAAGGTTTTGTATACTCAACAAATACAAAATAATCTCTTTTGACTGGGTCTTTATGTTAATTTTGTGTATGCTACTGCAGAAATGGGGACATATATTCTGGGGAATATTTTGCAGACAAGATGCATGGTTTTGGAGTGTATCAATTTCAGAATGGTCATCGGTATGAGGGGGCATGGCATGAAGGAAGAAGACAAGGACTGGGAATGTACACTTTCAGAAATGGGGAAACACAATGTGGTCACTGGCAGAATGGGATTCTTGATGATACCAAAAGGCAAAACAGTCATTCTGGGTCTCCATGTGCGGTGGACCATGCTAAGGTTTTAAACGCAATCCAGGTAATAACCCTTTTTGCACTCATTATGGATCAATATGCACATAGAAACATCTACTAAAAACACAAAAGGTAGTAGAGGAATGGAAAAGAAAAAGATGAGGGGGAAGTTATTCTTTTCTTTCTTTTCTTTAAAGGAAAAGAAAAGGGAATTAAAAATAATGATAGCATTATATTAATATATTGTTTTGCTGCTCAATATAGTCTCCTTGCTTCTTCCTAATTGTTATCATAAAAGGACATTCAAATAAAGAAATCAGGAAGCAACCTGGACCTTCCCCAATTTTATGAGACTCAGCTCTCTGCATAAGCTACTTTGACCTTCTGGTCAAACCTTAAACCACCTGATTTCTTAGGCACTAGAATAATGTTACACTTGTCTCATTCTGAGCAGGATGCACATTGTGCTGCTGAGAAAGCTTGCAATATGGCAAAGGTGGATGATGGTGTGAACAAAATAGTGGCTGCAGCTAATAAAGCAGCAAACGCAGCAAGAGTGGCAGCTGTAAAGGCTGTGCAAAACAGGATGCACCATAATAACAATGACAAATGATACTTCTTACCATTCACTCAATGTTTGGATCATACAAAAGCATTTCATCTGTATCATCGACCATCATAGGTTGCATACAGAACATTTTTAGATATGAGAGAAAGCAAAGGAAGCAGAATGAATGCGAGGAAGATGAATCATAAAAATGCAGAAAAATCATGAGATCTCCTCTGAAGTTTGGTTGCTTAGTTATGTACATTTTCTTCTTCTCCCCACTTGGGAGGTGCCTGCTTGGAACCACTTTCTGTCATTGAACTTGATGGCAGATTGCGGAGCAAATAGGTTCCTCACTCTTAGTGGCTGTTTTTATATGTATAGGAAGAGTAAGAATATAATAGACTATAGAGTTACAATGTGTAAGGCTTAAGTGCCAAAAAGATGGCCAAAGTTTAGCGTAGGTTTTACGTGTTGGATTCCTGTTATGAACTTGTTAGTGTATCTATATGCATTTGGGTGGGTGCATTTATAAAGTTGCTCCCCAGCCAGTGTTGTATGTGTTTGTTGAAGAGTACCAATTTTAGAAAGCTCAATTTCGTTATCATTTATACGATCAGACTAATGCATGAAATAACGATGAATGACTTAGAGCTCCTTTGTTTCGCCTTCTTCAAAAAGTAATTTTTATCTCTTCCTTAATTTAGAAGTGCTTTTAATAAAAGTTAAAGATATTTATATTTTTATAAAAATATTTAGTATTTCAAAAAAATATTTAGTTTTTGAAAAAAAATATTTGACTTTTGCTTTTTTTAGAAGTTGAAATTTTTAGCTTAGGAAAAAAAATAGATTTTTGACTTTTTTTTGTAACTTCTGCTTTTTTTTAAAAGCAACATCCAAACGCACTAAAAATAAGAAGTGTTTTTTTTCATAAAATAAAGTCCATCTAAACGAGTCCTTAGTATATAAAAAAAAAGAAAAAGTAAAAATATGATATAACAACTATTATTTGAAAGAATTTTATGTTGTAGAATGATGGTAAACATGAAGGGCCGGCTTGGCTCAGCGGTAAGCTTGCTTGCCGTGGTGTGTCAGGTCGCGGGTTCGAATTAGCCTCTCTGCAAAAAGCAGGGGAAAGACTGCCTAGAGTATTCCCTTCCCCAGACACTCACGAAGTGGGTATTTGAACTGGATCGGCCCTTTAGAATGATGGTAAACATCGCAGCAATTTCTATTGGAACTTGCGTCAAACAGGCTAATCAATGTTTGTTTCGTTGAGTACAATATTATCAAATACCCTAGTGCACAAAATTTTGATCCTCTTAGAATTCCGTTACTCCAATATTTCTTTAACATATGTTTCGTTACCATTAGTTAGGATAAGGAAGACATGCCATTACACCCCTCTCTTTAACATGATCCATCTGGTTCTTTGTATAAGCATCTTATACCCCAAAAAAATTCCTTTTAGTGTCGTACAAACATGTTTTGGAAATCGAATTATACATTGAATCATCGAAACTTTCAAGTTATGTTTTTAATTGGTTTAACCTGTTAAGTTAGCGATTAGATATTCGTTGAACCAAATAATATCTAATCAAAAAGCATAACCAATTTAAAGTTTAACTGGTTCATTCAGGCTCATTTTGGTACGGTTTCTAAAACTTCGATACAAACATAATAAATACTTACATACATTAAGTTGAGGAGAGATATTCTTACTACCAAAATTTTTCACTACCAACTTACTACTTATCTAATCACCATTAGATTAACATTTTCTCTCTCTCTCTCTCCAAAAACTTTTTAACATTATCTCTCTTTGATCCAATGATGATGTGATGGGTAATAAGTTAAGAATTTTTGGTAGTTAGAATATCCTTATTCCACTAAGTTATCTTAAAATTTTCAGTATACATAAACTAGCTAATAAAAATAAGAGTTTATGGGTCTGTTTGATTGTGTTCTGGTTTTTTTGTTCTTAAAACCGTTTTGAAAAATAGTTATGAAAACAGTTATTTCCAATATTTTTTTCTTTTTGAAAGTTAAAAACCAAAATAAAAAACAAAAACAACTCAGACATGTTCTCTAAATTTGATTCTAAAAACAAAAAAATAGTTATAGTTTTTTAAACATTTTTTACAAAACATGTGCTACCAAACGAGTTTTTTAGTTTTTTTTGTTCTGAAAACTAAAAGACTGTTTTTAAAAACAATAATCAAACAGAGCCATATTTCGGGTTTTATCTTTCATTTTACAGGAAAAGCAGTGTTGTTGATTTCTACTGAGAAGATTTGATGTGGGATCCATTGATATTGTTTTCTCTCTCCTTATATTTATTTCTCTCTCTCAAATTTTCTCTTTGCAAGAACTAATAGTATTTTTCCCGTAAAATGAGAAAGATAAAATCTTTATATTTATTATAGGGAGTTACTGTAATGCGTAGTGTAAAATAATTTATTTACAAATTAATTTATTTATATTAATAAAAAAGAAATAGATTATACTTATTATCATTTTTGGCTTACCACCCTTATTATATGTCGTTGATTTTAAATTGATCCAACTATAAACTAGTGTTTAAAAACTTGGAACATGCATCAAAGTGTCACTTTTTGGCAAATTTTTTACTTAAATGTCACGCGAATAATACATTTTACCAGACTGCCCCGCATCGAAGTTCCCTACGCCTAGTAGCAAATTTTGTCGCCTATGATTTCGTGACACGTGGCCATATTACGTACCAAATTCGCTACCACTAGTGACGAATTTAGTCCAGTCAACTTTTTCCTGCAAAAGTGTGCCACGTGTCACAAAATCATTTGCGAACGAAGTTTGCTACCAGTCGTAGTGAATTACATCGCGAGGCAATCTGGTAAAAAGTATTGTTCGCCTGGCATTTGAGTAAAAAATTTGCCAAAAGGTGGCACTTTGGTCGATGTTCCTAAAAACTCGGCCCAGTCATTGACTCGGTCGAGGTCGCAGGGTCACGGGTTCAACCGGGAGGTCACGGGGTCACTTTGCTGACTCGGTTTTATATATTAAAAAATATAAATATATATATCCCATATGAAAAATTAAAAAAAAATCAACCATCAATCATCAAAGTATTAAACTATCAAAGCATATCAACCACAAGTCAACAAATTACATCCACAAGTCACAAGCTAATTAAAGTATCAAACTATCAAAGTATAAAAACACATATTCCAATGGAGCTAGTGAAAAGTTATATCATTAAACTCATGCCCTCTTTGTCCTTCTCCACCATTGCCATCCAAACCTCGAGGAACATTGCTTTCATTTTGGGGTACACTGGCCATATGAGGTTCATCATCTACATCATCCTCATCTAAATTCAATTCATCTACAATAACAGCAAAGCATTCTATTTTACGTGTACTTTTTTCTTGAAATAAAACACATACATTACAAACTGCTTACCAAAAAAAAAAACATACAAATTTGTCCAGACTCTAGAGAATAAAATAATAGCATATGAAGAAATATACCTTCCCCTTCAAATTTTTTGCTTCTTCTTGAAATACTGGAATGAACTTGCCTGTATCATTTGAAGTCACAAACAACAACAACTGAAAATTAAAGACACACATAAAAATTATGAAACAACATGTGAAAAGAGATCCCTTACCGAAGAGAGAACGACGAAGAAGAGGCGGCGGCGCGACGAATCAATGTTGGAGAGAGAAGAACCAGCACTGCGGAGGAGAGGGAGAGAGAAGAACGAAGAGAATAGGAGGAACCACCACCACGGTGGAGGAGATCACCGGATCAGAGAGACTGAGTCTAAGAGAGAAGATTGGAAGAGTAGAAGAAGAATGATTCATATTTCAGATCTAGTTCTAGATTTATGCAGTAACGAGTTTTTTTTTTTTTTTTTTACACCAAACGATGTCGTTTCATGTGTAATTTTTTTTTTAAAAAAAAATACAGTGATCCCCTCTAACCCGGGAGTCACTGAGACCCACCGATTTCGGGGGTCAGAGGGGTCAACATGTATGCAGGGTCTAACTGCTGAACCCAACCCTTAGAGAGAGAGAGAGAGGGTTAGTGACCCGACAGGGTTTTAAAACACTACTATAAACAATATGATAGTAAGAGTCTATGATGCACCGACACTTCAAAAAACTTGACGTGTCGTATCCGATACTTCCCGATACTCTGACACTCGTCGACACTTCAACACGCTTTGTAGAGACTCAAAAAAGGGTTCAAAGGTTGCGTTGTGTTGCGTTTTTAGTTCCAACTGTTAGATTCATTTGATTACAATTACCATTTTATTGAGTGTAATATATATATTTGAGATATCTTATGTTTCTTTGCAAAATTGATAGATATTATAAGTTAAAATCACTGAAGGAAGGTTATATTTACAATCTTTACGTCTTACAACCATATCTTAACCATTGATTTCCGCCAATGAACTGTTATTATTTTCGCAAATCAATTTATTAATTAACTATTAATTCGCAATAAATGATGACCGTTGATTGACAAAAATCAACGATTAAAATATGGTTGTAAGATGTTGTAAACAAAAATAGATTATAAGTATAACATTCCTCATTGTTGAATGTTAAATATAATATATACAATATAAATTAAAAATATTATTTAATATCAAAATGTGTCCTGTATCAAAATTTAATGTATCATGATGCTGTCCGTACAACATAAGTAGAAGTGGTGGTGTTAAGCATAGAAAGTATAACCCCAACAAACTTGTAAATAGATTTTTATAAAATGTGTCGACAAAAAGCAAACAAGCTTATATTAATTTGCGATGAAGGGAATTAGGAATTAGGAAATAGGAATAGGTATTGTATGTTTGTATGTAGGTAACACTGAATCAAAAACCCTAGCGCTTTCTTTTTCTCTAACTGGGAACTGAAAAAGAAAAGAGGCGAAAAAAGGCATTTCATTTTCATAGTGAGGGAAGAGGGTATGAGTATGATTGGGTAACATTAACATTAACATTAACAACAACATTAACATCAACATTTTGGGTTGAAAATCGGAAAGGGAACTATGTACAAAGATCGAGGAGTTTCTGTGTCGAAATCGGAGGATCGGAAGCGAATCAACGACGTCCTCGACAAGCAGCTGGAGCGATCCTCACCGTCCACTTCAAGGGTCATCAACGCCAAGGATAGGTCCGATAAGGACCCTCGCTCCGCCTCCATCTCCAAGAATTCCAACATCTCTGGTACCATTTTTTTATTTTATGGGTTGGGGTTGGGGTTGGGTGAGACCTAATTTCCATTTTGGGATCCAATTACTTAGTGGTTTAAGGACTTTGATGAGCATTCAATTCATCTCTCCACTTAATTTAATTTAACGTTACATATAGATACTCGTAATTTAGGTGATTAATTCATGCTATCAGCTACTAGAAGCTACAGGTGTTACTACAATGCACTTTAAGACTAGAGAATAGTTTCAGAACTCAATTTATGCTAATATGGAAGGCAAAGTATGGAATGCATTGATTTGATACCCTCTCATTATATGCTCAAGGAAAATATTTCGTCATAATCTACTCTGTTTTTTTCCTCTGTTATCTTGTAGTATTTTGTCATGTTGTCGTTTCTATTTTGTCATGTCCATCCGTTTCAAGCGAAGATATATTTTTTTTAAGACAATGGTGAGTATAATGCTATGGGGGAATAGTTGCACAAAAAGATATTGTTGGAAGAATGGTCGCAAGAGCTGACAATTTAAGAGAGAGAGAGGACACTTGATGAATATATAATTGCCAAGACTGGCTTTAATGAGCTAATTTTTTTTATTTTATTTTTTATATTTTCATGTACATTGGCTGCAGAGGAATCGGAAACAGACAGTGAAGAGTCAGATGTCAGTGGTTCTGATGGAGATGACACATCTTGGATCTCATGGTTCTGCAATCTGAGAGGAAATGAATTCTTTTGTGAGGTTGATGATGATTACATCCAAGACGACTTTAACCTTTGTGGATTAAGTAGTCAAGTGCCGTATTACGACTATGCTCTTGATTTAATTTTGGATGTTGAATCCTCCCATGGTAAGCTTGCATACATATTTTTAGACTTTGTGTGCAAGTCCAGAATACTAGTGCATGGATCTCTCTCTCTGTTTTTTTTTTTTTACTCTGTTGTGAAAACTATTATTGTTGAAGCTGAATTCAAATTGTACACTTGTATGTCTGTCGCTTTGATTACCTACTTGGTCATTTTTGTATAATGGCTACTTTGGTTTGGATGGAATTTATAGGTGACATGTTCACAGAGGAACAAAATGAGTTAGTTGAATCAGCAGCAGAGATGCTTTACGGTCTGATTCATGCCCGATACGTATTGACAAGCAAAGGAATGGCTGCCATGGTAAGATTTCACTGCCACTTATAACTGTTTCCATGCTGTACTATCCAAGAGATTGGAACTGTTACTGATGTTGGAACTTTTGCAGCTCGACAAGTACAAGAACTATGATTTTGGCAGATGCCCGAGAGTTTACTGTTCTGGACAACCCTGCCTTCCAGTTGGCCAGTCAGACATTGCCAGATCAAGTACTGTGAAAATATACTGCCCTAGGTGTGAAGACCTTTACTATCCTCGGTCCAAGTATCAAGGCAGTATCCTTATATTTATTATTGACCTTCTTTGTGGAGGGTTTTAAGCTGATGCAGCTATCTATCACTATGTCACTGAGAAATACTTCTTTAATTTTCTTGTGCCTCTCCCTTCATTCTTGGTTTTGAGTTTCATTCTTTAGTCTGTCATATGAGTAGCTTGTTTGTATGCATGTAGCCTTTTATGTTTAGTTTTTTTGTAATTTACTTCTCACTTACATATACCAGCATGTATTTGCATTCTGTAAAGGAAAAAAAATTGCATGTGGATCATAAACTGCTTTCGAAACATGATCAGTGGTCTGTAAGAACTACTGGAAGCTCTGATAACTTTTCTTAAAATATTTATTTCCTGTACTTGGATGTGTTATTAATGTAGGCTAGACAATGGTGGTCCATAATGGAATAAGAGAAAGTAATATTCAGACAAGAGTAAGAGATATCTGGGAAGTTTTGGTGACTTAATGAAAACAATACCTTATTTAGGGTTTAGAGAAAAACTATATCTGCAATTTTGCTTCCAGCTGTTGTATGCCTCAAGCATAAGGACAGTTTCTGAAAACTTTGGGCAAGCTTATGTTTAAAAAAAGTTGCAGAAAAATGAACAACTCTTTGGAACTGTAAAAGTTTTGGAAGACTACTTTGCTTTAAACTCTCTCTCTCTGTCTCTCTCTCTCTCTCTGTTACTCTCTAGTGTTAAGAAATTTGGTCACTCTTGTTTGCTAGTGCATTTTTAAAAAGGATTAGACATTATTTTATTAATTTGTTTGTTTTGCGTCCATTCTATAGAACTTTCTTATTTAAAATCCTGATATGTATATGATTTTTGGGATGGTATGTCACTCTCTGTTTTGACTATATAATTGCGGTATAAATTTTTGGTGGAACACTGTATCCTATACTTCACAAATTTCCTTGAATCTATCTAGACATTGATGGAGCTTATTTTGGAACAACATTTCCACACCTCTTCCTGATGACGTATGGACAACTGAAGCCACAGAAACCATCACAGGGCTATGTTCCAAGAGTTTTTGGGTTCAAAATTCACAAGCCATGAAGCTGAAGTTTAATCTTTCATGAGAGTAAGAGTCTGCCCATGTCTTAATTAACTCTTCCTTGTAGTACTCTTTGCAACATCCAGCAGATCATAAGCTTTTTGAATTAGTACAATCTAGATCTCCATTTTCTTGTTTTAGGAGCGTGTTGTAAAGAAATATGCTGACATTTGAAGCAAGTGCCTAGTTTCACTTTCAGCTTCAAATTCAATGTGCAAGTGCTTAGGTACTTGATCATACTTTTTAATGGTTTATTACAAATTGTATTCTTGCAGTTAACTTTACTTAATGTTGTCTATTATTATGCCTCAGATTACGGATCCCCTGCTATTTTTATATTGTTTTATTCCATTCCCCCCTATTTCTTTAGCCTTTGAATTTGTGGATTTGATCTCAATGGATTCATACATTTTACTAATTTTATAAGTTAATTTGTTCTGATGTTAAACTCGTCTATCTAACATAAATATTGATTGTATGGAATATGAATTCACAATATGTCCCTCAAGTGTGTCTCATGGCTATATGTCATTACTGATTTGAATCCTCTCACTATGCGCTTGTTTGTGTGCATGCATAACTACATACTAAATGCGGAAGTTATTGGTTCTTTCGGCTGCAGAAAAATGTGAGCTATTCTCTATTCATCTAATTTCTGAGGGAAATATAATATTTACAGTTTTTTTATCTTCAACTTCTTTTTGCTGAATCTGTATCCCCAGAGAATACCCGATTCTCTTTTAACTTGCTACTCCCCAGACATAAGCCAAGCCACCATAATCCCAGCTTTGGCTTCTATACTTGTTTGGTTCATGTTTCATCCATAATTACTACTTATGAATTTTCGTTCCACCTTGTTTGTTACGGGTTTATATGATTTTTATCTGTTCCACTTTTGACCAAAGTTCCTAAACCGAAAACCAAGTCAGTTGATTGTCAAATTGGTTATACTGGCCGTTAAGTTGATGTTCATGAGGGTAATGAATAACAGGAATCACCATGGGGATTAGCGGCTAGGAGGGACATAGGTTGAAGCGGGTTGGATTGATTCAAATCATTGAATTTAGATTTTTTTTTTTTTTTAAATCTTGCCGACATTCTGTTTTGTCAAATTTGTTCGGTACTGCCAAATTGCCTGCTATATATATATATATATATATATATATATATATAGGTTATTAACAAGTTTTATATCAAAGTTTACATTATATAATAAATTTTTAATGGATTATTTTATCTCAGTCTAACGTTAGATTTTTATCATTTTGATCATATTTATAAAACATATATTAATGTAAAATTATTTAATATTTATTAGTATATATCAAATTTAATGAAATATATTTTTGAAATATATGAAAATAAAAATTCTTATAATATATATTTATTGTTATTCAATTTTTATAAGATTTGACACAAATAATATATGAAGTTACCAAATGGTGCTGGTTAAAATTATTTTTATAACATTGAATGGCTCTATTAGCTGATTTTATTTAATATTTACCATTGTAATGAAAGTTTTTATTATATCCAAGAGGAAGTGCTATGGTATATGTTTTTTGAAGATGATATTGTGCTTATTGATGAGACTAAAAACGATGTTAATAGAAAGCTTGAATTGTGGAGAAGCATGTTGGAGTCTAAAGGATTCACATTAAGCCGGAGCAAAATTAAGTATATGAAGTGTACGTTTTCTCTGGTAAGAGATGTAGATCAAGATCTTGTGCATCTACTTGGTCAAGAGGTACCCAAGAAAGATATTTTTAAATACTTGGGATCCATTTTGCAAAAAGATTGAAAGATTGATGATGATATAAATCATAGAATCAGAGCAGGGTGGATGAAATGGCGTAGTGCATTTGGATTTTTGTGTGACCGCAAAATTTTCCTTAAGCTAAAAGGAAAATTCTATAGAACAACAATAAAGCTTGCAATGTTATATGGAGATGAATATTGATCAGCACATAGGCAACATGAACATAAAATGAGAGTAGCAGAGATGAAGATATTAAAGGTGGATGTGTGGTTAAACATGTGACACCATTGATATTTTTTGATCTAACGGCTTTCAGATGAGGTGTCAAATTTTAAATTTGACACTGGTGTCAAAAGATCCTACCTTATATATATTATTTTATTTTTATTTATTTTTATTTATTTTTATTTATTTTTATCTATCCGTTCCTTTCATTTGAGTTCATTCAATTAGTTCTCCAATTAATTTGGGATAAATGTGTTGTTGATGTTGATATTGATAATTATAAAATATTATGCTAGTCTAAATTAAATAACCCGAGACCTAAACCATTGCACATCAATTTTTATTAGTTCAGTTCAGTTTAGGATCCAATCATATGAACCAACAGCATTGGATTCGCAAGTTAGTTACAAAGCACTGATACCCCTATTAGAAAGAATGAAAGTAGCGCTAGGGTAAGATTATTGTGGTGTTAATGCTGGTTGAGTACCGATCATGGCGCATAGCATAATTTCCAGGTAAGTAGTCGAATTTGGACTCGTTAAACAAGTCATAAACCAGCGGCTATTGATTGAAGGATGGAAGAAGAGGGACAGCATGAGAAGAGGGTGAAGGAAAGTAGAGAGTGAAGCAAGGAAGGTTAGGAAAATAAAGACATAAAGATTTAACAAGTGAGTTAGTCTTTTCCTTTTTTGTGTTGTGAACACATTTTAAGAGTGCGTTTGCATTTGCTAAAAAACAACAGACAACACGGTGATTAGCTGACAAAAGTTATAAATTACGTTGTTACTTAAGTTATTCTTTATCCAATGCTCTACTATTTTACAAATCAACAATTTTCTTTGCATTGCTTTGCTATCCCTAATCAACGCTCACAGTAAAATCCTTACATTTGCATATTATGATCTATGCATGCTGTTTTTTTTCCCGAAGTTTAAGAGGAGATAAGAAAAAAAAATAATGACAACGAAGGACTTAATGGCAGTAAATCCCCAAACTTAAATAGGACATTTCAGCACCTAAACTAATTCTAATGCAAAATGGACAAAGCAAATGGGTGCTCGAGTTAATAAGACAGTAAAACAAAAATATAATAAAAAGGAAAGTGATAAGAGAAATGTTACATTTGTCTAGTCACTATGCAGACCTCATTGGAAGCAGCCCCATAAGAAAGCATCATGTTGTAATATATGGATCAATCAAGTGATGCGATCTTTCTACTAAGCAGTGAAACTTTGTATTATTCAATAGAAAATCTAAAAGCTTTGCGTATTCAATCATCGAAAAGGCAAAATATTACTTTTAATGCCACCATGCCTTCACTAGAATCACAAACAAGAGCAGAGTCAAGGCCATAACGAAACTATAAAAACATAGGTAGAGTTCTTAAGAGGCATTTGGGAGAAAGTTAAAATTCAGCTTAACAAGCATGGGAAAAAAAGAAGCAATGAACCTCTTGAAGTTGCAAAGAACAAAGAACAAAAGGAAACTACGAAGCTAAATTTGTCTAACAGAAAGAGTTCCAAACAATTAAAATTAAGAGTTCATCATCTCAGGTAAAACTTAATCTGGAAGTCAACTTTGAATACAACCAACGGAGTTCTCTGAACATAAACTAGGCATTTCTCGCAAGTCTAATTGACCACAAACTAGCATTAACCAAAAGCTCAACTCTCGGTTTGTTCCCTCAACCTCCTTATGGTGCTTCGTACAGTCACAGCACTTGCAGTACTGTCAAAAAAGTGAGAACAAAGTCAGGAGGCTGATTAGGGAAATAAAATATTGAAGCAGAAAGGAAGAAGAGCATTACTTCAAAGTGTAGGCACCGCCAGCTTTCACTTTACCACAGTCCTTGCATCCCCATATTCCTACAGCTTTCCTCTTCACAGCATACTGCCCCAAACAATTGATCATCAGAATTCAAACATTTGAAAAAGTTAGATTTAACCTACTAAAAACCTTGACAGACGATAAGTTCCTACAGACATAAAATCACATGTGGTCGGTCTACCTTTCCACAAAATTCACAGAAGAATTTGCTGTGTTGACTAACTTCCATCTTCTTAATCTGCTTCCGCAGACTAGCCCCATAACGGGTACCTGATATAAGATAACAGGAAAAAACGGCTTCTCAGGAATAAATCCAAGCAAATCAAACATATTCTTGCAATAGCATTTTAAACATAACCTATAAATAAATCCAAATTTGATGATGTAGAAAATAATAATGGCCTATAAATACTTCAAATAATGAATTAGATTAAATAAAAGAGAATAACAGTGGTCAGGCAGTTTAATTTTGCCCCAAAATCTTAGACCCGTTAGGTTCTAACCATCCCCTGTATATAACATGCCTAGCCATAACATGCCTAGCACTGAATGATTCTAACCAGTAAGCGTTTTAACAACTTTTAGCACACAACCAATCATCTGCAATTTAGCAGCAATACATAAATCAATAACCATTCTTCCAGAAACTCAAGAATATATACATCAATAACAAAACCCTGCATAGGTGAGCATAATAGCTGACATGCGCAAGACAATGACAAAAACGCAAGGAACAAATCAGATTCCACAAAAAACATAGTTATAAGACATACCGTATTTCCCAACAATGCCAGCCTTCTTTGTTCTCTTAGTCTGCAAAAACGAGACAGTATTAACTTAAAACAATGAAGCACAAAAAAAGAGAGAAGTAAAGTAAAATATACATGTAAAGAGAGACCACAAACACATAACAATCCGTTCTAGATTCCTTAGTTTGATCTATCTATATGGTATACACCAAAAAAATATTGAAAATAAAAAATCATAAAATCGATTGAGACGTTCTGGTTCGGAGGTTGGTAGTGGGAGCGAACAGAAGTAAGTAAAGTAAATCAAATCAATTGAAGAGAAGAGAAAGTACCATGTTTTCGAGATCGAAGGCTCTGCAAGCTTAGAACGACGAAGGTTGCAGCTAAAGAATGGAATAGTCAGAGAAACCCTAATTCCTTTTTGCTATTTTTTATATAGAGCCACGTTGGGTGGGTACTGATCCGATTTTTGAAGTAAACGGGCCGTGTTCAATGCCCAATAATAGAATTTAAATTTTTTTTTGCCAATTGGAATCAATGTATATGCTACTTGATATATGGATCATGGGCTAAAGTACTGAAAATAATATTTACAAAAAAAAAGTACTGAAAATAATGATATATGGATCATGATATGTGTATGGGAGTTATTAACCTTATATTGCATAACATAAATATTTTATATGGGTGAAATAAAGTTGTAGGGCTCATAATTAAAAAAAAAATAAAAAAATAAAGAAAAAATAGGCACAAAATTTCATGAGTGTGTAACATAAGATAGTTGTCTTATATGACATAAGACAACTATTTCCCTATATGTATATGCCACAATGTGATATTTTGATATATAATTTGGGTTCATTTTTTTTTTTTTTCAGTTACTGCAGATAAGTGATCTGCAGTAAACTCAATATGACATCGTTTTGGGCGGAAATTATGGTGTTTTTGTAATTTTAATTTATTTCAGGGTTATTATAGTCTTTATAATTATAATTTTATAATCTTTCAATCCCAAAACGACGTCATTTTGAAAGTAAATGCAGATAACTTATCTGCATTAACTGCAAAAATATTTTTTTGATATAATTTTAGGGAAAAGTATTTGTCATTTTAAATGACATAAAATTATGTCATTTTAAGAGAGAGATAGACACAAAATATAATTTTTTTTTAAATTTAAATTAAAAAAGAAAATCATTCACTTTCTCCCCCATGATTTTCATTCTTTGTGTCTATCTCTCTACTAAAATGACATAACTTATATCATTTAAAATTACAAAGATCAAATCCATAATTTAAGGGTTTTATTTATCTGAAGTAATAGGAAAATCATACTCTTTCCTACCCTCACATCGATAAGTGAGCTGCTCTTTTTTTTTTCTCTCTCACCTGGTGGGTCCTACTTTTGACTAACTGTGTGTGCAGGAACAAAATTTTATTTTCGTGTTGTTTGAGACTAATAAACCCCTAATTTTAAATATATTAAAGAGTTTTATTTTTTGTGATGATCTCATCGCATGGATTGTGTTATAATCTTTCTTTTTTTTCTTTTTTCAAATGTTTGTTTTATAAACAATCATCTAATGATGATATAAAAATAAGAGGAGGAATTGTTACGGGTAGTAAAAGTTCCCTCAATTGTGAGAGGTGTTAATATATAGTTTTTTTTTTTTTTTTTGGTAAAACAGAAGGTCTAAGTCAAAAAAAAAAAAAAAAAAAAAAAAAAAACCAAAAAAAAAAAAACTACTGAACAACTAAGGTACGGGGTTTGTCCAAACCAGCAAAATCAGCCAGGAACAACAATACAATTGAATTCTAGGAGGAGACTCTTTGCTAATAAAATAATTTAAATTTTCATTGTTATCCAAGATGAAATTCGCCATCCACACATATGTTCCCTTGTGTTAATATACAGTCTTACACTTACTTATTAGCATGATTTGTTTGATTGAAATTGTTGTATTATATGATATAAGAGTTTATAACTACGTGGTTACGAATTCGAATTTTATCGTCCCTTTTCTAATAAAATTAAAAATAAATCAAAATCAGACAAGGAAAAAAAAAATTGAAACAATTATTCACATCAATTAAGTCAATTATATTCTCCACTCACCCTATGCTATGGTACTGCATTTATTAGAACATCATAATAATCTAATGCTACTTAAATTTTTTGTACCAGCTTAATTGAAAATTATCATTATACTGGCTACATGTTGCAGCTTCCAATCATCCAGGAAGTGTGTGAAGCTTAGTTGGTGAAACAGCATCTTTGCATGTGCACACAAAAAAGTTGCGTCTTTCCTTATTCAATCTTCAGAATATAGAAATGCCCTTTTCATGATAAAACCATCTTATTCAAAAGAGAAGAGAAATCAAGCAACTTGCAGCAGAAAACATCAAACATGGCAAGCAATGTGTTCTTGGTGGTGTCATTCCTCCTATTGATGTCAATTTCATCAGTTACCCCAACAGGAACTTATGCAAGAAACCAAGACCTTCTCACAGCCACTGAAGAGATGCAAAAGGCTAATTACTTTACATTTGTAATGCTCATCAATATGTCTCCACCTGACACAAGACTTCAAGGGAATGTGACTTTCTTAATGCCCAAAGATCGAATGCTGGCTAACATGGTGTTGCAAGAAGGATCCGTTTCTAGCTTCTTGCTAAGGCATTCAATCCCATCACCTTTGCTCTTTGATACATTGGAACAATTCCCTACAGGGACAACTATTCCAAGTTCATTGCCAAACTGCATGCTAAGAATCACTAACAATGGTAGGAAGAATTTTGTTCTCAACAATGTTAAAATTATCAGCCCAAATCTATGTGTAGCAGGATCTTCAATTCGATGCCATGGCATAGATGGGGTTTTGTCAGAAGCTTGTATATCAATAAATAACTCTAGTGTTCCTAGTGTTCCCAGTGTTCCTTTACCTCCATGTCTTAACAGCACAGAGCCTTCATGTAAGGCCTCACCTCCAATTCCATCTCCTTCTTTACCTTCAGCTCCTCCTAATAGAGACAATCCTAGTCCTCCTCCTACAGTGACAGCCCCTAGCCCAACAGCACCAAAATCAGGGTCCCCCCACTTGTTTTCTTATGATGGATCATTCCATTTTGTCACATGCTTGATGTTCTCTCTCATAGGTATCTATTTTTAATTCAAGCAGATTGAGAACTTCAAGTTCTGCTAATTGAATTAACAAGAAAGTAAGGTACAATATTTTGAGGTGCTTGTTGTAGTTCAAGGTCATAAGGAGTTTACTTATTTTATTATCAGTTAGGTCACATACAATGCAAAAATCAAACAAGCTTATTGATTTTATTATAATTGGTATGTTGTAATGAATTTTTTTCTCCTTTTTTTTCCCCTTCAAAATGTTAATGTACTGATGTTGATGTTTCGCTAATGCAATTTGCCAAATTTCATTCTCTTAGACAGTAAGCAAAGAACAACACCTAGTAATTATGTGATTTCAGGTATGCTTTTTGTTGAGTAACTTGTTAGCCATCTAAAAAAAGGAAAATAAAGCAGTGAAATCATAATTTGTTAGACTTAAAACAAAAGTTTTCCCTTTTGTCAAATTAAAACCAAGTAAATACTCAAATCAAGAAATCATTAGAAGTGTATTGAATATACGAATCTTCCCATTTTTACTTAATCCATCTTTTATTAACAGCAAAATTAATCGGCAACTCTTAAATTTTTAACAAATGCCTCAGTACGTTACACTATAAACTTTGAGTTCATTTAATTTAAAGTTACTTTAGATAATTTTATCTAATATTTATCGAAACGATGTCATTTTAAGGCAAAAATCATGATGTATTTATAATTTTAATTTATTTCAGGATGATAATAGTTTTTATCATTCTAATTTTAAATTTTTTCAACACAAAAAAAATGCCATTTCGGTGAACATTAGACAAAATTATCTAAAGTAACGTTAGATACTTTTCCCCAGACTTTCAAATTAGATTGCCATTTATAAGCCACTGAACTTTTTAAATTTCTTCTTATTTGTTTGTTGGCTTATACAACTCAACCGAACAACAATCATCAGCTATAAATTTTTCTTTTTCCAAAAAATGTTATTTTATGTTCGGATGTTAAATTTGAGAAATATTTTGAGTAGTTGAAGGTTTCTTTAATTTCCAATTTCTTTTTAAGAAACACATAAGCATAGCTTAAAAAACCAAGATTTCTTCATTGTTTGGTGCTTCAACTTAAAAAATAAATAAAAAAATCATCCAAATACAATTAAATTTAACAAAATTATTTTTTACTCCTTTTATTTACCAAGAAGGAACATCAAAATGAGTACATTGTATTTGTACCAAAAAAAACACGAGTATATTGTATAATATCCGTTATACAATTAAAAGATGCAATTTTAATAATGTCAATGAAGGTTTTTTTAAGGTTATTACAAAAAGTCTGATATGGGTTTTGATAGTGACCCAGGGAAGAAAGAGACAGAAGAGAAGATTCAAAGAATATAGATGAGAAACAGAATGCCTTTGTATTGAAATCAATCGAATGAATGTCCTCTACAATCTTCCTCCTATTTTATTCAACTACAATAACTGTCAACACGTGCTACCCACATGGCTACTAATTACATGGACTCTCTAAACCTTAAAGGCTTCCTCCTCATACGTGGAGCTCTATTAGTTACTCTATTGGACTCTCCTTCTAGCAATGGCTGAGTACTCCTTTCTGCCTCTTCCAATCCAGCTTCTGATTTCCTTTCATGACCCTTCATTGTATCAATACCCCCATCATGGAAAACAACCTTGTCCTCAAGGTTAAAAGAAGGAAATTGTGATTGCAATGCGGCAAGTGTTTCCCAAGTTGCACTCTCTGTAGGCAAATCCTCCCAAAGTACTTGTACCTCCTGAATTCCTTCATCATTAAGTCTGGAAGCTAAAATCTGTTTAGGTTGCAACACAGGTAAGCCACCAGTAAATGCACCAGGTAATGGAAAAGAATGAGTACCATTATCCCCTTGAAAGGGTTTCAAAAGAGACACATGGAAAGTATGATGAATTTTGGCTGTTATAGGCAAATTTAGCTTATAAGCAACCTTGCCAATCCTCTTAGCTATTGAAAATGGACCAAAGAATCGATAGGACAGTTTATTAAAAATCCTCTGGCCTGCTGATTGATGTCGAAATGGGTGGAGTCTAACCCAAACCAAATCACCAGGTTTAAACTGAATGTCCCTTCTCTTTGTATCTGCCATGAGTTTCATCTGATGTTGTGCCTTCTCTAAGTTCTTGTGAAGCTGCAATAATAGTTGTTGTCTATTCAACAGCATGTCATCTACTTCAGGGACAGTTGCTGACTGTGGAAGATAATCTTTCAAAGAAGGAGGATCTCGACCATAAACCACCTTAAAAGGTGTCAATCCTGTTGCTGAATGAGTAGCAGTATTATAGCAGAATTCGGCCCATGGAATGAATTTAGACCATTGCTTGGGAGACTCAGCAGTGATACACCTCAAATATTGTTCCAGAACCCGATTGACCACCTCAGATTGGCCATCTGATTGTGGATGATAAGCTGTGGACCTCTTCAATTTAGTGCCACTCAACTCCCATAATTGCATCCAAAAATTGCTAAGAAAAATAGGATCCCTGTCTGAAATTATAGAACGGGGTACTCCATGCAATTTGCATACCATCTGGATAAAAAGGTTAGCAACCTTAATAGCATTGTATTTGCAAGGCAATAAACCAAAATGAGCCATCTTAGATAGTCTGTCCACTACCACCAGGATTGTAGTATATCCAAAAGAATTTGGGAGGCCAACAATAAAATCCATTGAAAGATCCTCCCATATCCTTTCAGGAATTAAAATTGGTTGAAGTAAGCCAGCTGGCTTTTGGGTTGGTACTTTAACCTGTTGACAAATCAAACAAGAATGGACAAATTGCTTGATATCCTTATGCATACTCGGCCAGTAAAAAGTTGCAGCAATACGGGCTGTAGTCTTCTGTATTCCCAAATGACCACCAACAAAAGATGAATGACATTCCTGCAAGATTTGGCCAACCAAAGGAGAAGCAGGATCCAATAACAGTTTTCCCTTTTGCAATAGCAAGCCATCTCTAATTACCAAATCCTGGTTTGAGGCAGTAGCAAGTCTCACTGTATTGTATTTTTGTAAAAAAAAATCTGAAGTCATGTTTTCTTGCCTAAGGTCATCCAATATGTGAAACTGATTAGTGGAAAGGGCCATGAAACTCATAATTTCGGGTTGTCTAGAAAGAGCATCAGCTGCTCGATTATCCTTGCCAGGTTTATAAACAATAGCATATTGAAAACCCAACAATTTGGTGAGGTAATATTGTTGTTCAGGAGTCTGAATGACTTGGTCCAATAAAGCTTTTAAACTTTTGTGGTCAGTCCTAAGCAAAAACCTTCTTCCTAGCAAATATTGTCTCCACTTCTTAACTGCTTCAGTCATGGCATAAAGTTCCTTGACATAAGCTGCAGCATGTTGCATTCGGAGAGTTAATTTCTTGCTAAAATATGCTAAAGGATGATCTCCTTGTAATAACACTGCACCAACTCCTACATCCGAAGCATCTGTTTCAATAATAAAGTCTTGTTCAAAATTTGGCAAAGCTAGCACAGGGGCAGTGGTCATGGCTGTTTTGAGTGCCAGAAAAGCTGCTTGAGCTTCCTTAGACCAGCTGAATGCATCCTTCTTGAGCAATTCTGTCAATGGGGCAGCAATAGAAGCATAGCGTTGTACAAACTTGCGATAATAGCCTGTGAGGCCTAAGAAACCACGCAACTGTTTCACATTTTTGGGAAGAGGCCAATCAAGCATTGCCTTGATTTTATTGGAATCCATGCTGACCCCAAGATTGGAAACTATATGCCCAAGATACTCCACCTCCTTTTGAGCAAAAGAACACTTGCTCTTTTTAATAAAGAACTGATGTTGTTGTAGTGCCACTAATACCTGCCTCAAGTGATGTATATGCAAATCCAAAGAAGCACTATATACAAGTATGTCATCAAAGAATACTGCCACAAATTTTCGCAAAAATGGCCGAAGAATGAAATTCATTGTAGCTTGGAAAGTGGAAGGAGCATTAGTCAAGCCAAAAAGCATGACCAAAAACTCATAATGGCCTTGATGTGTCCTAAAGGCTGTTTTATAGACATCCTCAGGTTTGAGTCTTATTTGATGGTAACCAGCCCTCAAATCCAACTTAGAAAAAACTTGAGAATGACCTAGCTCATCCATTAATTCATCGGCTGTAGGAATAGGAAATCTGTCCCTAATGGTAATAGTGTTTAAGGCTCTATAATCAATACAAAACCTCCATGTCCCATCTTTCTTTTTCACTAACAATACTGGTGATGAGAATGGACTGGTGCTGTGTTTAATGAGGCCAGTATCAAGCATGTGAGCTATTTGTTTTTCAATTTCCTCTTTTTGGAAATGAGGATATCTATATGGTCGAACATTCACAGGTAAGGAATTTGGTTCTAGATGGATTGCATGGTCAATTTGTCTATGGGGAGGTAAAGTAGTAGGTTCTTGAAACAAAGCATCAAATTCATTTAAAAGATGTTGTACCTGAGAACAATGGACCTTTGATTCTGTATTCAAAGAAGGTTCCAACATCTGTAACTGAAACAAGGAAGCCACTTGGCCTGTATTGTTGATTTTCTTGAACTGATTAAGGGAGATAGGTCCTGTATGATTGTCTCCTTTGAGCTTAATAGTAGTTCCATCCCACATGAATTCCATTGTGAGTTTTTTGTAATCCAATGTAATAGGGCCAAGCACTTGTAACCATTGGACACCAAGTACCATGTCAGCTCCTTGGATTGGCAGAACATAAAAATCGACCAAGAAAACATGTTGTTGTATCTTCACTGGCACTGCTGAACAGAAGCCTTCACATTGCAATCTTTGGCCATTACCCACCATGACTTCGAACTGCTTGTCAGTGGTTGTGGAAAGTGCCAGAGTAGACACCACTTTCGGTTGAAGGAAATTATGCGTGCTTCCACCATCAACAAGTAAGGAAAATTCTGACTTACCAATGTGACTAGTAAATCTGAGAGTTTGAGGTACTGACATACCAGCCAAGGCATGGAAGCTGATATGAGGTGTTGCACTAGCAGTGTCACGTATCACTGATTCTGGTTGTTGTGACTCATCTACCTGTACTGGCATATTCTCCTCGAGTAACTCATCATCAGGTACAATCAGAATATGTACAGAAGCTTTACATTTGTGGCCAAAAAATATTTGTCACCACACGAAAAACACAAATTTTTGTCCTTCCTTTCCTGCATTTGGCTTTGGGATAAACGTTGGGTTATGGGTTTAGTATAGTTTGTATTGGTATATGAAGTAGTCTTTTGGCCGGTATCTGGGTTCAATTTGGGTGTGGGTAATAATGGTGGAAGTGGAGAATAAAGTTTTGGAGGTTTGTTTTTCAAGTTGAGTTTGGTTTCCTGAAGCTTGGCTAATGAAATTGCACGGGTTAATGAAGAGGGGTAAAAGGCGTATACATCATGTTTAATGTCTTGTTTCAACCCAGAAACAAAGCAACTAATGAGAAATGACTCAGAGAGGCCATCTACCTTATTCGAAAGGAGTTCAAACGCTTCTAGATATTCTAACACAGATCCAGTTTGACAGAGCTTCGTCAACTGACCTTGGAAATCTTCCATGTCCGAAGGTCCAAATCGAACTTGGATAGCATGCATGAACCCACTCCATGAATCAACAATGGTATTCTTTTTGAACCATTGAAACCAAGCTAAAGCTTTACCTTCAAGATAAAAAGGAGCAATCTTGAGTCTCTGACCTTCCTCCATTTCATAAAAATCAAAAAATTGATTAATATGAAAAAGCCAGCCTTGTGGGTCATAAGATCCATTGAAACGTGAAGCTTTAAGACGCAAATTTCTTGCTGCGGCATGATCTTTGGAGCCTGTAGGTTGAACGTTGTTAGGTGCGCTTGTTGCTGAATGTGATTCCTGGTAACTGTCAAGGATGACATCTAGCTTGCATGTCAATTCCTGAAAACGTTTATGCATCTGTTCGCGTAGACCTTCCACCTCCGATTGCGTATTCTCCAATCGATCTTCGAAGGTGCGAGCTCGCGTTTCCGGTGCCATGGTTCAGGAATGAAAGCACCAATTGATATGGGTTTTGATAGTGACCCAGGGAAGAAAGAGACAGAAGAGAAGATTCAGAGAATATAGATGAGAAACAGAATGCCTTTGTATTGAAATCAATCGAATGAATGTCCTCTACAATCTTCCTCCTATTTTATTCAACTACAATAACTGTCAACACGTGCTACCCACATGGCTACTAATTACATGGACTCTCTAAACCTTAAAGGCTTCCTTCTCATACGTGGAGCTCTATTAGTTACTCTATTGGACTCTCCTTCTAGCAATGGCTGAGTACTCCTTTCTGCCTCTTCCAATCCAGCTTCTGATTTCCTTTCATGACCCTTCATTGTATCAAAGTCCTTCAAAAAATTTTAAATACTTAATTATTTACAAACAGCAGAACAATTTTCATTAGCAATTTTTGGGGTGTCTTCATTTTTAAATTTACATATAGTTATTTAAAGAATCAAATTTACAAAAAAATTTGCTGCTCGATTTGTTTACAAATTTTATATATTTTTTTACCCCATTTGAATAAACATAGAAATATGTGCTTCTTATTCGGTGTATATATTATTTTTAACTTCTCTTTTCCTTATAAGAGGAGCTTAACCAGATATAAGTTTATAAAAGTTTTTATTATAAAAAGAAGCTGAAGAAAAAAAAGTTAAAAACTAAAAACTCCAAAGATGAGATTTTTTTAAAGATATATATGAGCTTTTTAGAGTCTTCATATTTATTTTATAATTTTATCTTTATTTTAAATTTATGTTTATAAATTTTTTCTTTTATTCTAATAACAAATTATTTAATCTTCCCTTCTTCAAAACTATCATAACAGCTTTATCCATTCACCGAATAGCTTTTAATTTTATTTTTTGAGTTTTTTTTTTTACTTTAACTAATAAAAAATTGGACAATCAGGTTTCTATGAGATGTTTAGTAGAGGATAATTTTATTTTTATCCGAAAATCAAATTTTTTGAGAATATGATAAGAAAATAAATTTTTTGAGAATGTTATAAAAAAATTATTTAGTAGGTAAAAATAATACTAAAAATATTGGATAAGTTAGCTATTCTTGTCAACTTTTTTCTTATACTTTTTTTTATTTTCGCAGCAGTCCAAGAATACAATCCTTTGAATGGAATTTTCATTCATAATTTACACACAAATTGAATTCCTAGATAAATTACTTTCTCCAATAAATTTTATAAAATATGACACCAAACATGATGATTTTAGAAAGTGAAAACTCACTCTCACTTTTCTGTCGTATCTAAAAAAAAATCTCCCAACCAAAAACCCCCGTAATTCTATATATCAATAAGTAATTGACTTATATTAGGCCATCGATTTTCTTCTTTTGTAGGCCATTCTTTTGGAGAAAAAGTTTACTTTACATCAAGCGCGATCATCGCCGATAAGTAGCCAAAAAAAATATAAATGAATAAATAAATAAAAATAAAATAATCATCGCTATTCACGATTCACAAACTAGTGGGCCAAAGCTACCTATTGTACCCCACAAGCGATCATGTGAAAGGCGAATGCATTTTATAGATAGGTAATTGGCCTGTTGTGCTGCTATAAGTCAAACCCGTGTAAATTAATAAAGATAAATTTATCAATTCAAATGATTAAAACTTAAATCAAATTAAATCCTTTCAGATCATATTAAATCTTATGTTGATTTTAAAATAACAGAAGTTGAATATTAAAAAACTTAAAAATCAAATTCATTCTTATTTTACTACATCACTTAAAATTTTAGTTTATTAGATAAAATGTATAAAGCAATATTGACAAAATTATTGACCCAAATAATTAAAGTTAAAATCAAATTCATTCAAATATTAACATAAAATTATTTGGGTTTCTAAATAAGTACAAATTAAATTAAAAAAATTAGAATAAATTTTAAAAAATAAATCATTTTGAAATTAAATCTTTTTTTCATAATGTATTATTTCAAAAAAGTAAATTTGTGTAAAAGTTAATAGATAATACTTTAATTTATTGTAATTCTTTTAGAATAATCGAAATGAGTTTACTCCAAATCTATAAGGTGTTTACCAGAAGAGTAAGGTTTTTCTACGTAACTATTATTAAAAATGAACAAATAAAAATATATCAATTAATAAAATGTATCACGATGTTAATTTATGAAATAATTAATAAATAAATATTTTTTATTCACCCACTTATAATTTCGTTTTAAGAAAGTTTATCTTCCTATTTTCATTCCACAAAAATAGTATACTAGATTAGATTACACCTTGTCTTAACAACCGTCATAACAAAAAATCTCAACCTTCCTAATAGCAATGAACCACAAAACATGCGGGTGCACGTTAACGAAACTGTCACCACCTTCACAGGAACCCTAATGACGGTTTTAAATTAAACGGCCAAATTTGTTTAAAACGAAAATAAAATAAAATAAAAAAATAAAATTTATGAAGTAGCTGTAATTGTAAAATAATCACGATTCACGAGGGAGAAGAAGAAGAGTGAGAGACCCAACCCAACCCAATTGTTTTGTTTGTTCCTTTGTGAGTAAACGAACGACACTCTCTGATCCTTCCAGCAAAGTCTTACGACGCCGTCTGTTTGGATCCCAATTACTGCATCATCATCATCATCATAACGACGCTGTTTGGGGGGGTGAAATAGGATCCGATCCAATCTGCATTGCTTTCAGTTACGTTAATCCAAATCCTCCATTCAGATCTCGGTTTTTGTAACGGAATCTGAAGGTGGAGGAAGATTGTGTTGTGTTGTGTTGTTGGCATTGTTGAGTTTTGAATTAGGCCAGAGATGGATCAGTTATCAGCGATCAGCGAGGAGCTGGCGGAGATCGACGGACACATCGCCGACAACTTCCGCGTTTTATCGTCAGGATCTTAACCTCGTCATTCATTTTTGAGCTTAAACTGATGCTCCTCTGTAGTTTCTTTTCCTAATCGGTTGTTGTTGTTGGTGGTGGTGCAGAAATGGATTTCAGAAGCTCGAGAAGATTAAGGATTCAAGTAGGCAGAGCAGGCAGTTGGAAGAGCTCACAGAGAAAATGCGAGACTCTAAACGGTAATTTTGACCTTTTCACATTCCACACTAAAAATTCCGTACAGTGCCATAACAAGCTTGGATGTTGTTTGTGATTTCCACATTGCATTTTTGTGTCACATGATATAGTGCAACTGAAAATAAATAACCAGAAACTTGAATGCTGTTTTGATTATTTACTAACAGAACAAGTTTCCAATACTTAAAGCTTGATTCCGTTATTTTCTTGAACTCCCTTTGGTACTGGAAGTGAACAGAGTCTTGATCATGAATTGTCATAGTTTAAGAATTGAGGTTTCTGGTAAGTATAGAGGTTTGCCTTGCCCCTTCCCACATATCTTGGTAGAAAATAATTAAGAGGAAGCGAGTTCTATTGAGGGAACTCTGGCCTCAGAGCAAAGTTCCTTTGGGATAAGACTTCTCATTGCATTTTATTCTATAACGGATTCTTAAATAAACAATACAAGATAAACCTTGCAGAAAAATAGCAACAAAATAACAACCTACTGCACGCACGACTGCTGCAAGTTTCAACTAATTCCCATGTATGTGCTTTATTTGATTAAAAATAACAAACAAAATCCCAATAAATCACTTTATTTGAACAAGTCAAAATAACTTCCTAAAGTTTCACTGTCTCTCTCCTTACTCAAGTGTATATGTTGACAGATCTGTTTTTTCAGGCTTATAAAAGAGTTCGATAAAGAAGTCAAAGCTTTGGAAGGTAGCTTCGATAGAGAAACCAACAAAATGTTGAATGAGAAAAAGCAGTCAATGGTGAGATGTTAGCTCTGTATACCTAAATGATATACTTTAATTTTTCTACTTCTGGTCTCCATGAATTATACATGACATTCATCGACATTGCTGACAAGCATTTTCCATTTTTGTTGCAGATTAAAGAGTTAAATTCATATGTTGCTTTGAAAAAGCAGTAAGTGAAAACATCGTATTAGTGGTCGATTTTAGCCTGTTTGGCAGGCATAGATTTTCCTCACTCATATTATATGTCTCAACTTCCTTAAAATGTCATCAAAATCAAAAGTCATCTCTGTTCTTATATGAGTGGAATGTATACCTAGATAGAATGGACCAATGAGTGCATGTGTTTATGTGCTGTGCAGATATGCTACAAATATTGAGAATAAGCGAATTGAGCTCTTTGAGGGGCCCAATGAAGGTTATGCAGAAGAAAATGTATTGCTAGCTTCCTGTAAGCTTACTGGTTTCTTCATATTGGTTATGCTAATCTTTATGTATCATAACATGTTTTCAGCCGTCAAATCCTTAATCATTTTCTTTTACTTCATGTGAATTAGTGATAGAATGTGTTTAGTATTTGTTTTGTCAACTCAACCAATGCATATTTGTCAGTTCTTATACAAGGCTTGTGCTTCTTGTTTTGCTTGACTTACATTACGCATAGCTGTATTCATTTTGTGCAGAGACATTACCTAATTCTAGCAAATATTGATGTAATCAAAGGGAAAACATAGATAGAAATATATGGACGGTATGATGTATGAGTGGAGAAAGAGTCCTTAATCATTACAGTGAAAGTGAGAGATCAGAAAAATTATCATGCTTCTGCAATATTTTATATTGGGAGATGGTCTTGGTGTGCTTTTATATGCGCATAACTCAATATGCAAGCTTCATAATCATTGTTCCTGTCTGGCCCTGCTTTGATCTTTTTCCTTTTTTGAGAATTTTTTTAAAAGATAATTAGAAAGAAATAAATTAGTCTAAATTTTTTTTTCTGCTTCTGCTTTTTCTTCCTGGGAGAAGGCACTAATTTCTTGCTGCTCTTTAATGGAATATTTTTAGCTTCTATCATTTAAAAGCACTTCTATATTTTGGCCAACCACCTTAAAAAGTTATAAGTAGTTTTAAAAAAATAAAAATAAAACAAGGTATTGTGGATTTAATAGCATGACCAAACAGGATTTAAGTTGTTTACTATTTTGGTTAATGTGGAGCATTTATGATGTATTTCAGCAATGACAAATGAACAGCTTATTGGTCGTGGGAATCAGATGATGGATGAGACTGATCAAGCCATCGAGAGAGGAAAAAAGGTTGATATATTTCTTAGGTATCACTTTTAAAAAGCATATATATAGATTACAACAGATTTTATAGTATGCTATGGTATCTTTCTAGTCCAAGAGGGAAAGTCATGCTTGCTTTCCTTCCATTTTAAATACTGGTATTGAATATGGGTCCTAAGTCATTCTTATTATCTTTATCATTTTTTCTTATTTTTTTGTCCTGCGGTTTTTTCTTATTTTTCTGTCCTGCGGTTGCCTTGTTTGTTTCCAATTGTTATTTGGCACCTGCTTGTCATTTTGCTTCCTAAAATATCTGATGACAGTTTAGCCATCTCTTTGCGACATGATCTTCCTCATTTATATTCATGAACCCATTCTATTTTGTTGTGTCTATTAATTTAACATTATGCTCCTAAAGCACTGTCATCCCAATCTTGCTTTTGTTCATTCCCCAGCTTGAAAGAATTTGATTCTATATTTCCATATCATCCTCTCTGTTAGAATTCTTCTGGCTCTCCAGGGTATTGCAAAATCACTAAATCAGTGAAATGAAGATGAATAAGTGCGATGGGGCAGAGAGAGAATGTTTCTATCCTTTTTCATGTTCAAAGGAAGCATATCCTTTAATCTTTCAGATGACCGTAAAGGTTTTACATGACATAGTGCATTATATTCTTAGACCATGTGTAGCAAAGAAGTTATCCATGCATCTCCTTGGATTCTTTTGGAAATTATGTGCATTTTATGTATAACTCACCTCAAGGCCACAATTGAACGCCCTTTCCGTCTCCTCTGGAAGTTTGAAGGAATGAGGAAGAAATTGTAAAAGGGAGATAAAAAATACTGGATGATGTTTGATTTGAAAATTCTGAATATTTAAATTCTGCTGCTCATCTCCTGGGATAAAAAGGGAAACTTTGCTGACTGAAATTTATTACCGTGAACCCCTCTGCATTAATAGGTTGTTCAAGAAACGATAAATGTTGGTACAGAGACTGCTGCAGCTCTTAAGGCTCAGGTATGATTTCTTATGTGTAGTCCCACACCCCAGAACTAACCAAAAAAAAAAAAAGAACAGAAAGAACTCTAAAGGAAAAAGCTTGAATTTGACATGGGAACTAAAGGCTGTAATCTCTTTTATGTTTAGACAGAACAAATGAGCAGAGTTGTCAATGAGCTGGATTCTATCCATTTCTCTATAAAGAAAGCCTCTCAATTGGTCAAGGAAATCGGTAGGCAGGTCAATTTCTACAAAATCCTCGTCATTTTATGGCAATATAGCTACTATAGAAATCATTCATTGATTAACTTGTTGGTGTTTTTGCAATAGGTTGCTACTGACAAGTGTATCATGGCATTACTTTTCCTTATTGTCATTGGAGTGATTGCTATCATTATTGTAAAGGTAAGAGAAGTTTACTTCTTAATTCTTATGTGCTAGGATCTAATCCCCATCTAACAAAAGGGGAGGAAATGTATCACTGGTACTTGCATGAGTAAATCTAAATATTATTTATCAATTGATTAAAACTGTACACAGTATCACAATATATAGACTAAGCTAGCCTAAATAATTATTTTCATAAATAAAACTCAATTTATGGTAACAAAATACTTTACAATAATTACAAATGCAACCAACGTGAGACTGTTACAAAACTTCCTCTCAAGCTGTTGAATGAATATCTATTATTCCCTGCTTGCTAGCAAGATCCTGAAACCCCTCTGTAAGTAGCCTTTAGTTAACGTCTGCCAATTGAAACCCTGAAGAAACATATGTTCTGGTGATCACTTCACTATCCAATTTCTTCTTAATGAAATGATGGTCTATTTGTCATGCTGAACTAGATTATGAGCAATGATGATGGCCGATTTATTGTAACAGAATAGCTTCATAGGAGTTTCATACTTTATTCTAAGGTCGACCAATATAATCTTTCATCAATAGTAACTCATAAACTCCTAGTGTCATAACTCAAAATTCGGCTTCTACATTTGACCAAGCAACCATATTTCGTTTCTTACTCCTCCATTTAACTATATTTCCACCCAAGAACAACCTTGAATTGGTATCCCATAAGCTTTGATAGCCAGCAGTGCTGATCAGTGGTAGCAATTTACTGTTGGAGTGGATGTTTGAGGCCCTTGTGATCAGGAAAAACCTTTAAAGGTCTCCCCCTAAGGTAGTGATGCCAATGCCGTACTGCCAGTACCTGTGCCCTTTTTCATAAACTGACTTGGAAAGGTTAGTAGCAACCAATGCCTTGCTGAAAAAAGCTAATTGCTTATGATCCTGCCATAGAACTGCTCCCAAACAATGCCCCCGAAGCATCACATTCAATGACAAACTTCTTAGATAAATCAGGTAAGGCAAAAATTGGAGATGAAGTGAGGCATGCCTTCAATGCCTCAAAAGCCCTTTGAGCAGCTATGGTCCAAGAAAATCTCTCCTTTTCGGTCAAATCTGTGAATGGCAAGACCCAAAAATCGTCTAAATCCTTAGCATTGCGTGGTAGTGGTGACCAGTCAACTACACATTTGACCTTAGATGAATCCAGGGCAATTCCTTTAGAAGAAATAATATGGTCTAGGTACTTCACAAATGTTTTGGTCAAATAAGAACCTCTTACTGGCAAAATGTCGCTGATGGAGCAACACCAGAACCTCATCCAAGAGGACCGAGTACTCACTACATGAAGGATTATATATTAAAATATCATCAAAAAAAGCTAGCATGTATATCCTTAGCAAGGATTGAAATATTGAGTTTATGGTTGACTGGAAGGTGGATGGGGCATTCATGAGGCCAAATGGTATAATGAAATTCCCATGATACCTGTTGAGATATATAAAACCAATAATGTAACTTCTCCCAACAACTTAAGCTTTTGGGTTGAATTGATTCTTTACATGGTATCAGAGCCTCGTGTCCCGGGTTCGATCCTCACCGCCCCCCACTTTCTTTCAAATGGAATTTCTTTCTTCGCACAGGTAGGTGGGCCTGTGCATTGTCCACTCTTCAAGCCCAGTGGGCTCTCATGTGAGGAGGCATGTTGAAATATATAAAACCAATAATGTAACCTCACCCAACAGCTTAAGCTTTTGGGTTGAATTGGTTCTTTACAATGCCCATTATGTTTACAAAAAGCAGTCTTGTGTGTATCTTCGTCTCTAACCCACATTTGATGAAAGCTGGATCTAAGGTTGATTTTAGAAAAATACAGGGCTCCATGCAGCCTATCCAGCACTTATTGTAGGAATAGGGTGCCTATCAGAGATAGGTTTCTTGTTCAGAGCTAGATAGTCCTCGCACATTCTTTATGAGCCATCCTTTTTTATCAAGAATAACAGGGCTGAAAAAGTGGCTGGTACTGTGCTTGATAATCCCAGCTTGTAGCACGTCATGCCCCCTCTATCTCAACTTTACGGTGATGGGCATACCTATAGGCTTCACACTAATCGGTCCCTGATGGACCCAAATAAACTGATTGTATTGATTGAAAACTATGGAGACTAAGCTCCTTACAACGACACAGATTCAGAAAAGTAAACAAGAAAAGCAGCTATGGAAACCTTTAAACCAGAAAAGAAAACAAGAACCCAGAAAGACTCCCTGAGAACTGATATTCAGATTCTCAGATTCCCCACTCAACAAACTACTCAATGCTTGCGTACCCCTTCTCTACCTTTTTATTCCCACCCATTCTTTTATGCATCTATTTCCCCTCCCCACTCTTGTCCTGCCACGTGTCTCCCTTGCAAACTAACTTCCCCTTAGCTTGCTCTTGCTCATTTGTTTTTGTTAGAGAAGTCTAGTGTGAAGTCATTAAAGTGGTCCTCACTTAACAACTCGTAGTTTTAGGTGAAATGGTTGTTTACATGGTACCAGAGACAGTGATCAAGTGGTCACGAGTTCGATTCTCATCGCCTCCAATTTTTCTAATAAATATTTAATGGTGGGCTTGTGCATTATTCACCATTCAATCCCAATGAGATCTTGTGTGAGGGGGGTGTTAGAAAAGTCTAATATGAAATTATTAAAGGGATATTCACTTAACAACTTGAACTTTTAGGTGAAATGGTTGTTTAATAGTTTTCATAACTGCCTTAACTCCCTCCCTTTTCTTTCTTTTGTTATATACTCGTTTAAAGGGCTCACCCACACTCGATTTCAGGACAATGACATGATGATAGGAACTAGAAATTTTATTATAACGAAATATGGATAAATCCTAATACAATGTATCAAAACACTCAAAATAAGATAAAATAAGGATTGAATACTGCAAAATTTCAAGGGTTTGCAACCTCCCTGCCCATGGCTTTCAAGAGGCACTTGGTCTCTCCCAACTCCCCATTTGTAATCACTCAATAGTCTCCTATCACCTCCTCCATCTTCCCTATTTATCATCTCCTTTAAATACATGATCAATTACTAATAATTACATAGTCAATCACTCATAAATCAACCCATAACTACAAAATCTTGTTGTGATAAAATAATGACTTGCTCCTCTATCTTCGCGGGGTTCATGCTGGCCTTCAATCTTCATGGTTTTGGACTGGGCAAGGTCCTGAGGGTTTATGCCCTTATAATCAACTACTTGGCAAACCATCTCTCAGTCTCCTTGTTCTTCATATCCCTCCACTGCCAAAAGGGATTCCGGAGTGGTGGTAGGATCCTCTTCTTCCCATATCAATCTATAACTATCTATAATTGTCTTTCCACAACAGATTCCCTTTCTCTCTCCCCTAACTAACTATCTCTCCTTTCAGATCTATTTTCTTTCTATAACTGTCTTTCCCTCCTCTAGTTCTTTTCCCTCCTTTATCTGTTTTCTCTGTCTTACGCCTATGAGAGTATACATGTAGGATTTTGGGTTTGGGCTTCAATTCAGAACTATTATCCTCTATTATTGTCGGGTTTCGAGCTGAATTTATCAGGGCTTAGATGATTTGCTTACATATGGTAGAAATGGCTTGTCTGTATGTGGAAGCATTTATGTTGCTTATGAAGCATTGAAGCATAATATATTGATTTACTGATTAACATGAAAAAAAACTTCAAGTTTTCACTGGATACAGCTTTTTGATGGCTTTTTTTATGGGGTAAAGTGTGTGTCATTTTAAAGGATGTAAATTTGTGTCAATTTAAAAGAGAGAAAGAGATAGATAAAGGAGGAGAGAGAGTTGACAAAAAAAATAAAGGTGTGGGTCCCACCTCTTTGTGAGAGTGAAAGGATATAAGTTGTGTCATTTAAAAGGATAAACACTTTTTCCTTTTTGATGAAGTTTTTATATGTTGTCTGCAAAGGTTTGTTCATTTTTTAGTTACTGATCCATGCAGCCATTTCACAATTATCATTAGAAATTTCTCTCAGATTATGAAATTATTTGTAGTCACAACAAACAAAAATTGCATTTGAAAATCTATTTGGTTAGAGTTGGGGTTGTTAACGGATGGTGAAGGAAAGTTCCAAAATTTGAAGATAGTCTTAATACATTGTCCATAAATGCGATAATTATCATGTCATTTCTTTTTTCTAAACACAACCTTGGTTTCATTTTACCTAGTAGAACTAGATTCCAGAAGCCTCCTATGCTACGTACTTGCCGAACTGCTTTATTTTTACTGATTAAATCTTCTGACAATGCTCAGATTATGACTAACTATGCTAGCACGTCTTTCAAAATTTCAGCTTGTGCACCCAAACAACAAGGACATTCGCGACATTCCAGGATTAGCTCCTCCTGTGATGAACCGAAAGCTGCTTTGGAGTCACAGTTGAAGAATTGAAATGAACATTGTGATGAGCTTTGGGCACACACAGGATTAAAATGAACATTGTGATGACTGATGAGCTCATCAAAATGATTTCATGTTTTTGGTTTGATGGTGATGAGTGATGATGACATTGGCTGCAGCTGTTGCTAGAAACAGAGTTGCCAATTATTGAGTTTATTGTTACGTTATAGTGTAGGGGTTGTTGAGCTGAAGCATGATTCGGTCTAGGCATGTACATTTGATTTTTTATTGAACTGATCAATTTAATACTATATAGCTTCCATCTACCGAATCATAAGGAAAGTCAAACAAATGAGCCCTAGAGATTGTTTGTTGATTGTGTTGTAATCTTGTAAGACACGGTATCTTTTATGGGGCACATTCTAGTCCTTAAAAAATACCTAATATCATAAGTATTATCAATTTATACTACAAAACTCTGATTTATTTGTTTTAGTCTTATAATATTTTGATTTTCATTTTGATCATTTAGCAAACCAACTATGTCTCCGTTGTTCCTGTTGCGTCTTCAGACCCTCACCGTACCATCGACTGAAGAATACAGCAAGCGGCGCATAACCAAACCAAACCTCACTTGTGCCCTTGACGCATCACCATGCATGGTAACACAGTATTTCTTCATTTTTAAGGACGAGACAACATTTTTGGCAGCCAAATTAATTTTTAGGGTGTTTCCTTTCTTCTAGTAACTCCTAACATGGCTTCTACAATTATCAGATGCTTTCAAGTTCACCCCTTTTGCTTTATCTAACATCATTACTCGGGAAAAAAATGGAGGGTTTTGTACTGCACAACGAAAGCCACACAACTCTAAATATTAGAAGACACCCAACTTAGGCAATAATACCCACAAACCAAAGGCTTCAGGAAGTACCAAGTCCAAAAATATCAATGAAGATAAAATTGAACAAAGTTCAACTTAAAAATTGGGGAACTAGTAAGCTGTTTAACCTATGGGTAAGTTTCGAATACAAATTTTAGAAATATATGACTCACTTTACTGCATTTATTTCACCTCCTTTTAAGCCTCCGGGAGTGGCTTAAAAAAAGTATTAATCATTGTATAAAAAAATATTGAAAATCCACTCTTAATCCATTTAACTCGAAAAATTGACTATACAAAGAATCAGTTTAAAATCAACGAAAATAAGTAAAAATCGTTGAAGAACAAATCGAAGTGGTTTGACTTTGAAGAATTTGTTTGTTTAAAAAAATAGTCAATGCAACGCTGTTTTTTTTTTAGTACTGGACAAAGTTTTAAATATTATGCATAGTAAATAAATTTTTAAGTGCAATTATTTTTGTTGTTTCAATATAAGGTTTTGGCGAGCTAACGTCCCAACCGGGATTGAACTTTTCATTTTGATGGGAATAAGCGAGGGTTTGAATGTACAGAGAGTATGAAATATGTTCCACCTTCGTCGAAATAACTAGTTTTATATACGGTTTACTGAATGTACCGTGGCTGGATGTAAAATTTGGTCCAGTCACTTTATTTTCATTTTTTCCTTTTATATATACCAGAGATACAATCTTTCATATCGGTGTCAAACTTGAATTAATAATTAATTAATAAATTTGATCGGCAAAAATTAATGGTTAAGATTTGGTGTCAAATTTCAAGGTTTAACATTAATGTCAAAGGATCTTGTCGATATATATATATAGGGTTCGCTTTTTCTGCAGTTACTGCAGATAAATTATCTGCAGTAAGCCCAATACGATGTCGTTTTGGGACAGAAATCATGATGTTTTTATAATTTTAATTTATTTCAAAGTTATTATACTCTTAATAATTATAATTTTTTAATATTTCAATCCCAAAATGACTCCGTTTTGTGAATAAATGCAGATAACTTATCTGCAGTAACTGCAGAAATATTTTTTCGATATATATAAGGCTTATTGTTTCTCAAGTTGCTTGAGATAACTTCATCTTCGACCACTAAATCATAATCGTACAAAGATGGATCAATGATGATAAAGGAAGAGAGAGAAAAAGAAAATCATAACCATTCAAAGGTGAATTAATAAATATAAGAAAATAAATAAACAAAACGACGTAGTTATAGACTAGCCGGAGATAAATATATCTCAATCAACTTGAGAAATATTTTTCTCATATATATATATATATGGGTTCAGTGAGTGTACAGTGACTAAATACAAAATTTGGTCCAGTGCACTAAGTGTTAGAAATATTAAGAATCAATTATAATATTAATAGGATTTTATTATAATTATAATATTAAGATTCTTGATATTATCCATTAAACGTTATATGGCCCAATTAATTACTGATACACTTAATCTCAATCATTGATTTAATTTGGTATATAATGGACTTACCAGATTATGAGTTATGAAATATATATATATATATATTAGGGATGATCCTCTCTCTCCTTCTGCCCTAATGTCATTCTCTCCATCAGACTACATATCAAAATAAAGAAGGCTTAGAGAGAGAAACTATCCTAACACAATTGCTCACAAGATGATGACTGCTGTTAATCCTTCATCATTGTTTCCGGGTATGTCTTTATCTCTTATGTATATGTGAAAATCATGTATTCTCAAGATCCTTTATCATGTTCTTATTTTATGATTTATGAACATGATATATTATGCAAACTAACATGTGGTATCAGAGCTAAGTTTAGGAATTCATGATTTTCCTTGGATGATAGCTGAGGTATTGATGAAGATAGAATAAATTTTGAATCTGTTCTTGAAGATTAAAATAAAAAATAAAATTAGGGTTTATCTAATTTCAAATCACAGATGCATAATGTTTCGATTTTGAATAATGAATTGTTAAAAAAAAAAAATCACGGATTCAACTTTATAAGAAGACCATAAAGGCTTGTTTGGTAGAGGTACTTCTTAAAAAATGCCAGGAAAGTAAATGTGGGTTTTGCCTTTACCCATGTTTGGTAGAGGATTTAGCATTATTTTCCCTGGTACGCAGAATACCCAGGAAATTGCTTTATGAACAAATTGGGTCGTAGTTTCCCTTGTCAAATTACCTCCAAATATGTGGTATTTGTCAAAAATCGGCAAGAAGGATTTTTGTTAACACAATATTTCGGACAGTTGTGCCCCTCCATTTGAAACCTAGTCGTCTCTTTCTTGAACGAAAATCTTGTCCACTCACGTCCTTTGAAATACTCATCCATTTTCGTCCAAGACCAGAAGCTTTTTATCTCGTTTTCTTGTCTTTGGCGTCGCCATCTGTGTCCATTGTTTGTGTTTGTCATTTATGTCGGGTTATGGTTGCTTTGGAATCTTATTTGCAGAACCTTATTTGTGCATTCTTTGCCTCCTTCACCCAACCCCAAAGACTCCACACTTTCTCATTACAATGGATGAGAGCTTATCTGATATTTTCGATGACAAAGAGTTTGGGAACAACCACTTCGGTGCACATATTTTCGATGACAGCTGAAAGAAATACTCTTTTTTGAGCGATGGTGTTTTTTTTTTGTAATAGTGTATATTACGAGGTTATTTTCGTAAAAGTATCACATATTCCCACTAAAATTTTATCATTAACCAAACAACCCCTCAGGAAAATTAACCAGAATTTCCGGTAATATTTTCGCCTACCAAACAACTTTTTTGTAAAATTACCAGTAAGCTCATATTCTTACCATATTTCAAAGTAATCATGATTCTCGAGTTAAAAAAAATTTCTCCTCTACCAAACGCTCCCTAAAAGTTAATAGGTGGTTTTCGTTGATGTATAATAAGAAGTTAATATATATATTCCAGATATATTAATTTGAAAAAAAAAATTAATATGCATTGATTCTCATGACCCAATATATATTATAATAGAAGGAATTACATGGATAGAAGAATGGATTCATCGTTTCCATTCTATATGGACACTGTATTCATCGTTTACATGGATAGAATGGGGGGAAAAAAATCAATTGTGCATAGAATGGACACTGTACGCATGTCGGTTTTTGCAAACACTGTTTGCGGCAATATATAAATTGAGATTTGTTTTGCTGTTACGGTGTGTAATATATATGTATACAAATTGATTTGATTTGATATATTTATTTAATGGGTTTTATAAGAGTTATGTTATAGGAAAAATGATTGTGTAATGTTATAGAGATTCATTTTGCGTGCCGTAATTTTCTTTTTTGCTTTTTTCTTCAAAAAGTGTGGGCCCCACAAAATGTTGTGTGAGTAGGAAAGTTTGTTGTGTCATGTTAAATGACAAATGCAAATCCCTTATTTAATATATATTACAAATTGATTTGATATTTAAATTGATTAAAGAATCAACTTACCGTTTTTGGGCCACGATTTCATGGAATTGAAGCACTGTCTAAATTTATAATTATATATGATGGGATATTAATTCCAAAATAGATTATGATTGTGTATGCGAGTACGTTGATAAGTTTATAAAAAATGTGCATTGTTTATGTTATGAATAATGCAGTATGTATTTATGGGCATGATTTTCGCTGCTGCTGAATGAATTTTTATTTATTTATTTATATATATTATTATATATATATATATATATATATATACATTAATGAATTTGAAATGTGTTAGTGATTGGATTAAAATTGAATGTTAAATTTTAATTCTATAATTGTTAAAATAAATAAATGCATTGTTTATGTTATGAATAATGCGATATATATTTATGGGCATGATTTCCGCTGCTGCTGTATGAATTTATTGTTTATGTTATGAATAATGTGGTATGTATAATGGCATGATTTTTCGCTGCTGCTGAATGAATTTTTTTTATATGGGCATTAGTATGAAGATTTGCATCATTTATGTTTATAAAAATAAAATAAAAATTACAATATGTATATTTGATGTATGGATTGTAAGGTCTTATACATACTTATTGTTAATTTTTATTGATGCAACATATTGTGATTATGAAATGAAATTGATCTGTTAGTTATTTGCACACATTATGTTATAGTTTGTAGTCACCAAAGTGGCCAAACTAATAGTGTGTAGATAACATAAAAGTTATTTATTTGTGTGCATTAAGGTTATAGTTTGTTAGTCACCAAAGTAGTCAAACTAGAATGTTATCGCATGCATAAAATTATCATTTATCCATATTTATTTGTGTGCATTATGATTATAGTTTGTTAGTCACCAAAGTGGCCAAACTAGATTGTTATCGCATGCATAAAATTGTCATTTATCCATGTACTTATGAAATACCAATTACT